GGCATCAGAATGTGTCTTTAAAATTCGCGAACATCCTATGTGAATTCCATGGTACATAACAAACGGGATTAGTATGTAACATTTGTGTCACGATGTGGGCAGGAGGAAGTTTAGGACCCAAGATGCAGGAAATCAGATGAACGAGGCGGGAGGAGGAAGATGAAATAAAAATCCTTTATTAGGAGTAATCCAAGACGGCAGGGAGCCAAAAACCAAAAATCCAAATGAAAATACTAGAGATCCAAAAAACACTGGCGAACAAGAGACACTAGAAGCTAGAGAGAAACGAGACTGACACGAACAATGGACCGACAAAACACTGCGACACAGACAGGGTTATATACACAGGGGAGGATGAGAGGGAGATTGGCTGCAGGTGTGTGGGGAGAGAGAGACCAGGTGAACTCAATTACTAATCAGGGAGGAAACAAACATGACCTAAGAATAAAAACTAAAGACAAGAAGAGCAGCAACCATAACTAATATTCTAAGGGGGAGCTGAAACTAGAGGAAAAACACTGCAGAAATAAAAACTACAGGGGTGTGACTAAAAAGGGGCCACGGGAGCACAGGACCTGGGAGGGGGAAACCTAGAGGGCTGAAGATCTGGGGGCAAATGGGGAACGCCAGGAGACACATGAGGAAGACGCAGACAAGGACACATGAGGGCGCTAGGAGACACAAACGGAGAACCTAGAGAGGGATGGAGAACACAAGGAGACACATGAGGGGAGACGCAGACACAGACCATGACAGTCTGTAGCGCCGTTGACTTGGATCAATTTTTTGTTCTTCCGTGGACCCGTGGTCCGGAAGCAGATGGGCATGACTTAGGCTCCCTATAGACAGAAAGACAGACATAGATATAATGTGTTGCAGACTCAATGTGTTTGTGAGTCTGCATGAGCGAGGACCTCTCCTGGATTTCCTGTCAGATGATGTACATCCTCAGGGAAGACTGAAAATCATCAGAATCCATTCTTCTTACTGAGGGTGTGGAAAAGCTGAGGGCTATTAGGGTATCCCTCCCGTCGTTGGAAAATATTTTCAAAAAGAGATCTAGGGTCACAATCTGGTGTGTAAGAGAACCCGAGGACTCTATATACAGGGAGGAGTAAAGAAACAGGAACATTTCTAGTCGATTTATTTTCCTTAGTGTGTGTCTTTGGTAGAGTGCCGGGATCTTTCCAGCTAAGATGGTGTCCTATGAGGCAGGCATCCTGTTCCTGGTAGCCATGTTGAATGTTTCTCTGATCTGTGTCCAAGCAACAAAATGTAAAGCAGCAGCGTAGATGTGTATGACTGAAATAGGACCTGAGGTAGGCAGCAGGTAGGCAGGGAGACAGGCCGAAATGTAACCTCCTGAAACTGTGCATTTTCATGTATAGGCATTGGCTCTGGTCAGTTCGGCCTGTGCCGGATAGGGACAGTCCACGCTGCCAGGCTGTGTTTACACAGCTTTCTTAGGAATGTGGGTATTGATGAGAACATGGGCAGGCCCTGCTGAAGTGGTGCGGAGAAGCCCGGAGTGCCATTCCTTAGCGCCACAAGTTAGTAAACAGAAGTGGGCGTAAGCAGTGTTGCTTTTGGAGACTCAGACTTGAAGCACACGGCTTCCCACTCTTCTCACTGAACATTAAAGTTAAAAGAGTTAAAGTCCCATCAGTTGTCACACACACTGATGTGTGTGCGAAATTTGTTCTCCGCATTTGACTCATCCCCGGGGGAGCGGTGAGCTGCAGACACAGCCGCACTCGGGAACCATTTGGTGGTTTAACCTCCAATCCAACCCCTTAATGCTGAGTGTCAAGCAGGGAGGCATTGGGTCCCATTTTTTCAAAGCTTTTGGTATGACCCGACCAGGAATCGAACCCTGATCTCCCAGACTCTGGTTGGACACCCTACCACTAGGCCGCTGAGCTGGTTTTATTGACATTGGTGCTGTGTGGTCATCTCACAGCAGGGGGTCAGTCCACATGCTGCAACTGCAGCTTCGCCAGGTCTTTGAGGCACTCAGAGAAGATGTTTACCCCGCTGATTGTCAGAGAATTGAGCATGTAAAAAGTCACAGCTGAATGATTCTAACAGTACCAATTAGAGGTACCCACTAGTAGGTCGGCGTGAGAGTGATGTAAATTCTGCTGGCCAATCAGTTCATAGATAGGTGTTTATGGTCGGCTCAGCATGAAACGAACCGCAGAGAGGCAAGGCCGAAAAAGTGCATGGACAATGTTGACAATGTAAATGCAATGACCCTGACCGAGGTGATATCAGTGTAAATGTGGCCTTAGTGTCCCTTACATGTAGCTACATCTGCCCTGTACACCAGTATCTCACTAGGCTGTGGCTCTTTGGCTGTTGGTGACTCGTTGAAGACTAAAATAGTGGAGAAAACGTGAAAAACGTCAGCTGGAATAATACAGAATTCACACAATGTGAGACGTTTTTATATACAACCAGGTGACATATACAGTAAAGTACAGATTAGTAGGCAAAGAAATGACAATATTGGCATGACATCTCTGTAAATATGCTTGTTGCAATTTGGCCACAAAGAGTTTTAATAGACCCTTTTACTACCTACGTCATCAAAAGTTGCGCGCGCAGCCTGGCAACGAGAGTGAAGGCTTCCTCATTCACACTCGATACTAAAACAGCGTTTTAAACCCTTTGTTTTGAAGTTCTGAGCACATAAAAATGTCGGGGTGTTGCGTGTATGGATGCCAGAATCGCTTCTCTTCAAGCAGTGGACTGAAACTTTACAGAATTCCGAAGGGAGCACATCCATTTCAACAAAATCGGAGGCATCTGTGGCTGCAGGCCATCAAAAGGGTTGATGCAAACTGGACTGAAAACACGATCCGAAATGCTCGAGTTTGTAGCGCCCATTTTATATCAGGTAAGGTAATTATGTACTAAAGTTACATATAAATGTATACGCTTTATTTCATGCTTCAAATTAACATTTCATTCTAATTCATCTGTATTTTCCCACTGCCTATTAGTATAAACTGTATTTCTCTAAAATTAACACGATTGTACTCTGAGCACGCTAAAAAAGAAACCTATGCTATACTCACCCTGCCATGCAGGTACAGTTGGCTGTGAAGACGTAGTTCTCTGGTTTGTTTACCATGACCCAGGCCTCGTACATAGCAGTCTTGTGTCCTTGTCTTTGGCTAGGAAGGACTTCTGCCTTCAAGACGCAAAACTCAGAGTCTATGTCGTGACATTTTACTTTCTGTACGTGGCCACAGACAACATAGTTGTATGCATCTAACGATTTGTATGCCCGTAGCTTCTCACGTGTGTACTTACTGGGCCTCTCCACTAAAAACGTATATATATCGGGCCACTGGATATCTGGCCACGCACCTACATCTTCCACCCATTCCGTAATGCCACAGGGATCCGGGAGTCTGTTGCCATTCGTTAAAGTGAGTTTAATAATATAACATTCAATATTTGCGGTGATAACCCCGCAGCGTAGCTTGATAAAGCCTGAAACAACGCCATTCTCTGTTGCCAAGCTGCGCGTGCATTCTCGCTGACGTCATATTGTTTACAAACAGTAAAAGGGTCTATTGTATCTCATTTATGTTTCAATTTGTTTGCACCACACTTTTTTTGTAGTTTGGTCCCCACTTCCTCCCAAAGTTGTCTCACATTTCTGGTCCTTTCTGACTGACTGAAACTAAACCGAGAAGGGTTTCGAGACAAGTTCCAGATATGTCCAAATATGAGAATATATCTGAAAATGTTCAAAATCCCAGAGACACAATGTAAAGCTCTGTAACTCAAGTCAAAAATGTGGGAATTTTGCAAATGTTTTGTAACATTATAGAAAAGAAAATTACATTTAAAACATTCTAGGAACTCCAATGGAAAGGTTGCTATTTGTATTAACATAATATATGAGATCTTGATCTCAACAACCTAATAGAACCGATTGGGAACAGCCAGAGACTACAATTCAAAATATGTTTTTATCCAGTTTATAATTGAGGGTATTTCTATAACGTGTGTTTAAACCAGATGTTGAAAATTAACATCTCTCAGTCAGGAAGCAGCAAGGTAAAATGATTTGGGGCTCTTTTGGTGTTTGTTTAGAGAGTTAGTCATGATCAAGATCCAACTTTATGACCCCCTGCTGGATTTCAGCTGGAACTCGCTGTAAATATTCAATCTGGATCAGTGCAGGTGCCTGCTACCAAACACGAGTTCAGGGAGGTAGAATAAGAACCTCTGTGATTGCTCAGTTTAGATCTCAGGTGAAAGGTGAGAGTTCTGAGAATATAGTCTTCCTCTGTCTGTTCCTGCTCACGTGGTATTTTGTCTGGAGCTGCTGTGTGTGTGTGTGCGTGTGTGTGCGTGCGTGCGTGCGTGTGTGTGTGTGTGTGTGTGTGTGTGTGTGTGTGTGTGAAGAGATGTTAAATACAGGGACTGAATGCTATGTGGGAAGAAGTCTTTAATTAGAGCAGGAAGACGGTTCAGGAGGCACACCAGACTGAAGTGTATGTGTCTGTGTGTGAACGCGACTTTGACTGCTAAATATCCTGCTTTGTGTGTGTGTGTGTGTGTGTGTTTGTGTGTGTGTGTGTGTGTGTGTGTGTGTGTGTGTGTGTGTGTGTCATTTGTAATCATTTCTATAATACAGATACTCTCTGATCAGATTTACATATACCTGTGATGGCTGAGATTCAAACAGCTAACTTCATTCATTTTTACCATAATCAGTTCATTTGTTCACTTATTCAAACAGAGAACATGATTTGTCCTTTTTTGTTATAGTCACACAATTTTTCACATCTTTATTTGACCTTTTGAAAAAAACCCAGAAATAAATCTGTTTTGTTGGTTAAAATGTTCCTTTGGCAGGATTAAACTCAGCTACGCCAATCATATAGTAAAGGTTCATCTCGAACATCCCTGCTAGGGTTTTTAACATTGAACTACTTTTTTAAATTATTCAATGTGTTAATGTCCTTTCCCACCTGTAGATCCTCCACCAGAGGGCAGTAGACATGTGTAGGACTGGGCATGGCCAGTTTTTGATGAAGGTACTAATCCTGATACACCGTCTGGATGCTTCAAAACCAGAGGTTGTTTGAAGAGAATTTATGTGGCATTATAAATACCCACATCCAGTCTAAACCAATTTTACTACAACACTTGTGTTTAATCTGTTCACAAAATTCATGTGAAGATAAAATATGTCGAGGTCATGGCTTGAAAGCACCTTCAGAAAATGTTATTTGCAGATGGTTTTGTGTTTATTTTGTACATAAGTGTTAATGACGTGTTTCTTTGTCACTGCAGCTCCCATGTGGCTGCTCAGCCATGCACCCTGGTTATGGCCTCTCACCTTTTCCTGATTTCCAGCCCCACCTTCGCTCTTTTCGGTGCAGAGGAGAGACGCACAGTATGTGGATCCCAGGTCCGGGAGAGTCCCAGGGTCTGAGTGAGTCCCAGGAGAGCCAGCCTCTCCTCCATCCATGTCATCACAAACACGTTGCCGTGTGTCAACAGGAAACCCTGGCGTTTATTGAGCTACAAGCAACAGCAACTCCTAAATCAAACTGTTTTGGTTCTCAGAGGAAGAACCTTATTTCAGATGCAAAACACTTGGTGGACTCTGTATCTCTGAACAGGGTCAGCCAGACACTGAATGAACTAAATGACATGCAGAAGATCTGCCACAGGAGAGACGAACTGGAAAACAGTTTGAACTCTCCCATAGAAACGATGGATCAGAAGGAGATTGTTTGTCAGAATGGGACCAGAACTTCTTTGCAGGAACAGCCCAAGAAGCCACATATGGTAACAACAGTGTGTCGTCCTCTCCATGCAGCCCTCAGCCTCCCTCTGTCCCTGCCCCTGTCCTCTCTCTACACAAACAGAGACTCCTGGGAATCTCAGGGACCAGGCTCCCCTTCCTCACCTGAGTGCCCCGAAAATCAGGGTCCGGATGCCTGCCAGCCTCAGAGAAGAGCATCACAGGGATCACTAAGAGAGAAGTCGATCCGTATGTAGACAAAGAAAATCTGGCGTTTTAACCTTTTAACATTCTTAACTTTTTGCTGATAGTGCTTTTTTTTTTTTGCCCACAGGACGAAAGATGCAGGTTTATTCTCCAGACAGCCTGAGTGATGAATCCCTCAACAGCCCAATTCTGGAGGCGGACTACATCTTTCCTGGACCCTTTGCATCTTTTCTGGAGGAGGACCTGAGCGGATTATCATCCTTGGAGGCCAATTCTACTCCTACATCAACATGTGATACTCCAAATCTCCTAAACATCAGTCAGGAAGACATCTTCAATGTACCAACAGAACCCTTACAGATAATAGAGGACTCCAAAACAGGAGTGGATGAGGAGAGCAGCAGTGTAGTGTAGGGACATCATTTCCATCTGGGATGAGTTTTTTGTCACGCACCCGTCAAGTCGACCAAGAACGCCGGCGTTTTTCAGCGTCAGAGTTAATATCAAGACTCCAGTTGTCTCAAAGGAAGAACTCATTCACCCTGAAGCTGGGGAAGTCCTTGTCTGCTCGGGTGACCTCCAGGGACAGGCAGAACACAAGCAGCCTCAGCCCAAACCCTGACTGTGAGTTACCAACATCCTGGTAACTTTTCTTTCAAAGGTAGTTCATAAAGCTTCAGGAGTTTAGAGACGTGGTGGCATCAACAGTCTTTGACCTGATGAGCTAACAACTAGCCTGAGCACAGTGTGTTGCTGCTTTAAACAGCCTTAAAGCTGAATGTTTTCCCCATCAGGAATTATGTATGATATTTTTTAGAAATCCTTGAAAGTGATAGCCTCACTCTGTTCCGTGATATAATTTAGGCAATACATCAGATTAGTTTTCGTACAGATGCCAATCACAAAATGTACCAGGACAGAGGCAGGGTTGGCAATATTTCTTGTGGACAATTAATTATTTTAAATATTTTATATGACTAATACCATACCATACCATACCATACTAGACCATACCATACCATACCACAGCACAGCACAGCATACCATACCATACCATAGCACAGCATACCATGCCATACCATAGCACAGCATACCATGCCATACCATATCATACCATAGCACAGCACAGCATACCATACCATACCATATAGCACAGCATACCATACCATACCATACCATACCATACCATATCATACCATAGCACAGCACAGCATACCATACCATACCATATAGCACAGCATACCATACCATACCATACCATACCATACCATACCATACCATACCATACCATACTAGACCATACCATACCATACCATACCATACCATACCATACCATACCATACCATACCATACCATACCATACTAGACCATACCATACCATACCATGCCATACCATATCATACCATAGCACAGCACAGCATACCATACCATACCATATAGCACAGCATACCATACCATACCATACCATACCATACCATACTAGACCATACCATACCATACCATACCATACCGTACCATACCATACCATACTAGACCATACCATACCATACCATAGCACAGCACAGCATACCATACCATACCATAGCACAGCATACCATGCCATACCATATCATACCATAGCACAGCACAGCATACCATACCATACCATATAGCACAGCATACCATACCATACCATACCATGCCATACCACATCATACCATAGCACAGCATACCATACCATAGCACAGCATACCATACCATGCCATACCATACCATACCATACCATACCATACCATACCATACCATACCATACTAGGGCTGCAACAAACGATTATTTGGATAATCGATGAATCGGATGGGGTCTCGAAACGATTAATCGATTAATCGGATTACATAGGGACATTTTTAAAAACTGCTAGGGAAACGTTATTTCTCTCCTTCCTTCACTTTATTAAACACAACATTATTAGAAAACAGTTCAATAGCAGAAAAACAACATGCCATCACCTAAATTGTCTTATAAGGTGTATAGACAGAGACCCTAAGCTACACCTATCTGTGACCTAAAATGCTTGGTCCAAGTTAAATAGCTTAAAGAGCAAGTCAACCCCTACCAGAGTCTAACTCCACTCCCACTTCATGTTTGAAAAATGCAACACATGCTGTTGCCTGGCAGACCGAGAGGGCGGAGCCGCTAACAAATACACACACACTCAGGCTCACGACAGCATTGTGACATCATAATGTACCAGTTTACATCATAGCATACTTCTTAGCCAATAGCGGTGGCAGATTTAAACTAAAATACAGTGCAGAGTTTTTACCTGACAATGGCACAACACTGCCAGTTTTAGGCAGAATATTTAAATTTTAACTAAGATGCACTGAAGTGCCAAATTATTGACGACACGTGTCTGCAGCACGATTAGACACTCGTTTATTTAGTTTATCAGCAAAAAAAAGTTTATTTGGGGTGACTTGCTCTTTAAGGGCAATTCTCATCTGTTTTGTTTGATCTCATCTGTAGACAATTCTTATAATTGGGGATGTCAAACAACTAATTTTTAAATGTAATTAAACATAGGCTGTGAATTAATCAAAATTAATCACTATTTCCAAAAATGACTGAAAAAATACCAAATAAAACAAAAGTAAATGAATGCCATCCTCCTTGCGATGATGCCCTGGGCAACTGCCATAAAGTCACATCAAGAAATGCTGCTGATCATTCCAATGATCCCAAATAGACTCACATTAGGCCACATGAAAGCAACTGAACCCAAAAATATATTAACCAGTATATAACTGCACTCACACAACACGCCTGCAGCAACAGTTAGGACTCCTCCCTCCCTTTTAAAAGCATTTTCGCTTCTGAGGATTCTGAGGACATTGTGGTTGTAAAGCCACATGTTAGGAGTCTGGCCCCGGTGTGATCAACCACTTTCTGCGGGAATGTGACGGCGGAACCGGTTTGCAGCAGCGCGAGTCCCCCCCCCCCCCCCCCCCCCATCTAATAGCGTTGCGCTTACGATTTTATAGACTTTTTTTTACGAGCTTAGGGCATGTCTAGCGTGTGTAATAATCCGGGGCTTGGGTGAATCACTTTTGAAAAGTTTTTAACTTACCCAGACACCGAGCTCTCTCCTTCCTCGCTGATGATTCTGACATGCTTGCGTTTAAGATGCTGCATCATCACTGCAGTACTCCCGTGCCATGCTAAGTCTGACCTACAAATGTTGCAGGTAACGAATGTCTTCACCTGATTTAACTGAAAATGCTCCCAAGCCTTAGAAGTTTTTACTTTTTTTGGGTCTCGCTGCTTCTGCCATGTTCCTCTTCCAAACACCTGCCGGCTCTCCAGTCTGCGCGCAAAGGCGGGTGGGAGGGGAGGGGGCTTTTGGAAGAGTTGTGCAACACAACGAATCGATGACGCAATTCGTTGCCAACGTTTTTAGTAATCGATTTTCATCAAATTTATCGATTCGTTGTTGCAGCCCTATACCATACCATACCATACCATACCATATCATAGCACAGCATACCATACCATACCATACCATACCATACCATACCATACCATAGCACAGCATACCATACCATAGCATACCATACCATACCATACCATAGCACAGCATACCATAGCATAGCACAGCATACCATACCATACCATACCATACCATACCATACCATACCATGCCATGCCATACCATACCATACACACCTGGAGTGGACGCGCACGTTTTTGCAGCCGCTGCTCACCGGTGATTTTAACGTGATTTTATCGTCTTTTACATTTTAGTGGAGCACTAGATTGTAGTTTTCCTAAGTGGGTGCTATATATATATATATATATATATATATATATATATATATATATATATATATATATATATATATACATACACATATATTTATATGTATAGCCTCCCTTGGGTCCTGTTTGGTTGTCAGTTTGTTGTTTGGGTGTACAAGCGGACTAAACCTACCTCTCACTCCTCCCGGCTGTTGACCCGCTGCTATCGGCTAGCTGCCCACCGCTGTCCATCATGTGGGCCTGCAAGTTATTTATCTGGTTGACCCTCCTCTGGTCTGCCCTGTCCCTTCTCCTCCAACCTGGGGCAGCTCTGTTCCAGTACATGGCGGTTGATCTCCTCCTGCTATGCGGGCATCTCTCAGTGACTCCGCCGGTAGCATTACAGCTCCACCCGGAGATCGTCCTTCCTCCCCGCCGGAGATACATCCATCGTGAGTCTCGCCGTAACTTCCAGCTGGATAACTCTCAATCAATCACCTCATACTGGTCCACAACTCGTCGTCCTCGCCTCAACACTTGCCGGATTGCGGACCTTCGCTCGCTAGCCAGCCTGGCGATGACAGAAACCTCCAACCACAACAACACCATCAACTTCGGCCTCCTGAATGTCCGCTCTCTCACAAACAAAGGTCAGCTCATTCAGGACCTCATCACCGACCATAAACTGGACTTCTTCGGGCTCACGGAGACCTGGCAGCAACTTAACAACTTTTCCCAACTCAACGCTTCCACTCCCCCCGGCTTTGTTTACCTATCCTATTCACGTGGCTCCGGTCGCGGGGGCGGTCTCGTGCTGCTCTATTGCGAGAAATGGAAGGTGCTGCCTGTCCCCACTCCTGTCTTCAGCTCCATGGAATCTTCTGTTTTTCAAATACCCGGTCCCACTCCTACAGTTATTGCATTGATTTACCACCCACCCAAGCCCAACAGTGACTTTTTAAATGACTTCTCCTCATTACTCACCCAGCTCACTACCCTTTCCCCCAATGTCATTCTGCTTGGTGATATAAATATTCATATGGACAACTTGAACCTCCCCCTCACCAGAGACTTCGATTCCTGCCTCAACAGCTTCGCTTTTCAAACATATCCTAATTTTCCCACGCACATTAAAGGTCACGCTCTTGATTTAATCTGCTGCTCTGGTTTAACCCCATCTAACTGCTCTGCTAATGATGTAAATATATCTGATCACTTTTTTCTGTCATTCAACATCCCCCTCTGCTCTTTAAGAACTAAGCCTATCCGTCACATCTCATTCCGCAATATCAAAAACATTAACCCAGACACCCTGTCATCTATTATTAACACTATATCCATTCCTAGTTCTGCTTCTCCTGACCATCTTGTTTCTCATTATAACTCCACGCTTCACAATATCTTGGATTCTCTTGCCCCAGTCAAAACTCTGTCCGTCTCCTTTACTAACTCTGCCCCCTGGTTTACCCCTGAACTCCGACAGATGAAAGCCAAAGGACGTCAACTCGAATGCCTCCATAAACTAACTGGTCTTGCAATACACAAAGAAATGCACAAAACTCATCTGCTTCAATACTTGGACTCTATTAAACATACAAAATCTGTGTTCTACTCTGGATTGGTTTCCTCCAATGAAGGCAACTCCAGGACTCTGTTCTCAATAATGCGCAATATTTTTCATCCCCCAGACTCTCTACCCCCCACCTGTATTCTGCTGACTCATGTAACTCTTTAATAACCTTATTTACTCAGAAAATTGCTTCCATACACCAGCAATTAATTCCAAGCTCTCCCCCTCCCCCTGAGATTCTTTCACCCCGCCAGTCATTTTGTTCCTTTCTTCTTCCCAGCTCATCCGAAATATCTAATCTTATCTGTAAATCAAAGCTCTCCACCTGCTCTCTCGACCCCCTCCCTACAGTTTTGGTTAAAACATGTCTCACCTCCCTTCTCCCTCTCATAACTGCCATAATCCACTCCTCCCTCTCTACCGGTATTGTTCCCTCACTTTTCAAAACTGCATCTATTACTCCAATATTTAAAAAAAACGGCACTGATCCCAATAATTTCAATAATCTTCGTCCCATCTCAAATCTTCCCTTTCTTTCAAAAATCCTAGAAAAAATAATCTCTGTTCAACTCCATGCTCATCTCACCCTCGATAACCTCTATGAGCCCTTCCAGTCTGGTTTTCGTCCTGGCCACAGTACAGAAACTGCACTCATAAAAATCACTAACAACCTCCTCACTGCTGCCGATACTGGACTGCTCTCCATTCTCATCCTCCTCAACTTGAGTTCGGCCTTCGATACCATCTCTCACACCATACTCCTCCATAGATTGTCTTCCCTTGGCATTTCTCATACCCCGCTTGATTGGTTCCATTCATCTGTCTGGCCGTACTCAGTTTATTCAACTCAAATCCTTCACTTCCCGTCCCTTCCCTCTCACTACCGGCGTCCCCCAAGGCTCTGTTCTCGGTCTACTCCTTTTCATCACTTACCTTCTTCCCCTGGGAAATATTTTCCGTAAATTTGACATCCATTTTCATTGTTACACGGATGACACCCAGCTCTATGTATCCTCCAAACCCTCCTCTTCACTCCCTCCTTCCTCCCTCACCAATTATTTATCTGAAATCAAAGACTGGTTCACATCAAACTTTCTCAAACTTGATAAAACAACAGTGATAAAACAGAAATGTTACTTGTCGGCACTAAATCCTTACTATCCAAAATCCACAGCTTTACACTTCCTGTCGACAACTCCTTAGTTTCCCCCTCCCCTCTGGTCAAGAGTCTGGGTGTCATCCTCGACTCCTCACTATCCTTCCAGTCCCACATAAACAATATTACCCAGTCTGCCTACTTCCATCTACATAACATTAACTGCCTACGCCCCTCCCTCACTACTCACTCGGTCGCCATCCATGTCCACAGCCTCATCACTTCCCGTATTGACTACTGCAACTCTCTTCTCTTCGGTCTTCCTCACAAATCCCTCCATAAACTCCAACTTCTCCAGAACTCGGCAGCCCGCATCATTACCAGAACTCCCTCCTTCCACCACATCACCCCTGTTCTTCAGCAGCTCCACTGGCTCCCAGTCACTTCCAGAATCCAATTCAAAATTCTGCTATACACATTCAAAGCCATCCATAACCTAGCTCCCCCGTACCTCTCAGACCTCCTTCATCTTTCAACCTCCACCCGTTCCCTCAGGTCCTTCTCCTCCATCCACCTCTCTGTCCCACCTTTCCGTCTGGTCACTATGGGGAGCAGGGTCTTCAGTCGCTCTGCTCCCCAGCTCTGGAACTCACTCCCTCCTGACCTCCGTAACATTGACTCCCTCACTCTCTTTAAAACCAGACTCAAAACCCACCGGTTCCATCTAGCATTCCAGTAGTTACTGTCTTTGCTCCAATCTGTCTGTTTGTTTTATGATGTTCTATCTTTTATTGTTGTGTATTTTATCTCTGTCTGTAAAGTATCCTTGAGTGTTAAGAAAGGCGCTGTTGAAATAAAATTTATTATTATTATTATTATTATTATTATTATTATTATTATTATTATTATACCATACCATACCAAATTTATGTATAAGCACATTTAAATACAGCATGGCACATGACCAAAGTGCAGTGCAGGTAAAAACACAGTACATATAGCAATAAAAGGATAATCAACAATAAAAAAGGCATAAAACATAGTCAGTAATAAAAATTAATGGGTGGTGTAATGCCAGATCCTAAAAATAGGCTTTGAGTAAGGACTTGAAATGCACAAAGTCACACTGAGGGGAAGAGCGTTCCAGAGGGTTGGTGTAGTAAACACAAAAGCACGTTCCCCCATTGATTTATATCTCATAGAGGGAACAGGAAGCAACAGATAGTCAGCTGACCTCAATGTCTGTTTTGGCACATAACGATCAACCAGATCTGCCAGGTGAGCTGGAGCCAGACTGTTCGTAACTTTTAAAACGAAGGTTAAAATCTTAAACTTCACTCTGAATTTTACAGAGAGCCAATGGAGATGTGCTAGTACGGGTGTGAAATGTCTCCAAGTATTTGTCAACAACCTGAATGCTGCATTCTGAACCACTAGGAGTCTGTTAAGGGCAGATAATCAACACAATATGAGAATAATATTTATAAAACAATGTTTTTTAGCTCTGTTGGCTGGCTAGACGTGCACGTTTATGAATGAGATGCATTGCTTTTGGCCGTAAACACGGAAATGTGCAATACAGTTTTCAGCCTCAGATTGTGACATCGGATAAAAGTCGGGGTGGGGCTGGGGGGGTGGGGGGTGTAAAAATAAATACTGGAACTTGTGAATTGGCAGCGGTAAGTTTTGATTTCACACAGGTTTCAAAATATGCAAATGAAATCAGTCAGGTGGAGAAAAAAAGTGTAACCCCAATCTAAGACTTGTTAGATACCATTTTAGTCGTTACTCAAGTTAATTATTCTCATGAGTCTCACCTTGTATTTGATTTAGACAAGTCCAACTCCAGGCAGCGCAGCTCTGGAGGCTCCAGTGACAGTGCCCCCCATAGTCCTGTTGGACTAGTGCCCAGTACTGAGAATGGGATGCCTCTACATCGGTGGAGCACCAAACTTGGGTAAAAATAAGTGGTTAACAGAAGTAAACAATGTCCTGCCAAAAACTGAAAATTAAACAACTGTTAATGTGATTATACAGAATGCGGAAGAAGTCTACGGAGGAGGAGTTGGGTACAAGTCCACCAGTCTCCAATCGACTGTCACGGTTTTTACCAAGCTGTGTGTTTGCCCAGATGGGTGTTCCCTTATTTTTAAATCCGTTGGACCAATTGTTTCCAGAAGGAGCCTGTTATTATGTCAACATTTTGGTTTTTACAGCAATCCTCTACCAAGAATACAGCGACGTTGCCATCAACAGAGAGATCCAGCGACAGCAGGGGAAGGAGCCTGGAACGGAAGAGGAGGGGTCAGATGGGACCCCATCTCCATCAAATCTGTCCCCATCCAGCTCATTTCGTTCCTCACGAGGTTCTGCGTTTGCTCTGTGGCAGGACATACCTGATGTCCGAACAAGCGGTCAGCTTGACAACTTCAGTAATGAGGAGAGAAAATTACAAGAGGTGAAAAACATGCTGAACTGGCTTTTTCCATGGAGTCTCTGTTTGACTTCCTCATGAAACTAAAACACAACATCTATCCCACTTCAGGCAAAGTTTGAGCTAGTGACGTCTGAAGCGTCATACATTCGTAGTTTGACAATCGCTGTGGACCACTTCATGTTGTCTCAGGAACTCACTGAGTGTCTTGGAGCTCAGGATAAGCAGTGGCTGTTCTCCAAGCTGCCCGAAGTCAAAGATGTCAGTGAGAGGTGAAGAACATGCATCTGATTTCCTCTTTTGCCTTGAAGTCTGTGTTTTAACAGCTCAGCTGTCATCTCTCACTTTCACTGAGTATATTTTGTCCTTACTCATTGGTTGAAGGTTCCTCCAGGAACTGGAGCACAGGCTGGAAGAAGATATTCTCCGTTTTGATGTGTGTGACATAGTTCTGGATCATTGCCCAGCTCTGCAAAGGGTTTATTTACCTTATGTTACCAACCAGGCGTACCAGGAGCAGACATACCAACGACTGCTGTGAGTAATTGTTTTTGCAGTAAGTTAAATATAGAGATACGCACGCGCACACACACACACACACACACACACACACACACACACACACACACACACACACACACACACACTGTGTGTAATCAGTCCCAAGTTATTTTTGAACTCATCCCCCACCCTGTTGTTCATAATGTCATGTTTTATAAAGTACAAAAAATTTCAGGTGATGCCTTTCTGATGTCATTTTTCACTTGCATGAACCAACTTGTAGATAATGCATCCTGCTAAATTATATATTACTTTTTTATTTATATTTATATTTATATTAAAGATGTTCATTACAAACACATGGGAATTTGATGCCTTTTAACTAAAATGTAACTCAAAGATTTGACTAACTATCCTCCCCCAGGCAGGAAAACCCTCGTTTTCCTGGCATCCTGTCTCGCTTGGAGGAAGACCCGATCTGCCAACGACTTCCTCTGACCTCGTTTCTAATCCTCCCATTTCAGAGGATCACAAGGCTTAAAATGCTGGTGGAGGTAAATGATTAAACATTCACTGGGTAAATCATGAATACAGAGATAACCTGAGCTAGTGTCATCTTTTCCTTCCACCAATGCATCACACGTCCACAAAACCATTGTTGTTTTCCCAGAATATCTTAAAGAGGACAACACCAGGCTCTCGAGATGAGGACACAGCCACAAAAGCTTTCAACGAGCTAAAAACGGTGGTGATCATAAACTTTTGGTCCATTATTACTGGGTGAGGTGTAGCAGTAATAATGATGTTGGTGTGTGTCTTTTTAGATCATCAAAGAATGTAATTCCAGTGTGCAGTCAATGAAGAGGATGGAGGAACTCATTCACCTCAACAAGAAAATTAACTTTGAAGGCAAAGTGAGCTGATTATGACAAACAATCTAGTGACATGATACAATATGTTACAAATACTACACCATACACTCGATAAGATATTGTATATGATACGACACGATACAATGTGATACAAATACTATACCATATACCTGGGGTTCTTAATCGTGGTCCTAGAGGGTCGGTATCCAGCATATTTTTGTTGTTCCTCTGCTCCTACACACTTGATTTGGTAGCTGAATCACCTGTTAAGTAGCTGATCAAGCTCAGCAAAAGTCTGTTAATCACCTGCTGACTGAAATCAGGTGTGTTGAAGTAAGGAAAAAACATGCTGGATACCAGCCATCCAGGACCAGGATTGAAAACTCCAGCCATATACTATGATCCAGCATGATGCAATATGTTATGACACAATGCAATAAAATATGTTTCAAATAATATATCACACGGGACGATACGATACAATACTATTTGATGCATTATGATACAAATAATATAACATACATTGTTATATGTTAGGATATGATATGATACAATCCAATACAATATGATACAAATACTATATCATACGTTATGACACGATACAATACAATATGATACATTATGAAACGATTACTAGACGATACATTATGACATAAATACTATACCATACATTATGATACAAATAATATACCATACATCATGATATGATACAAACACTATACCATGTGTTGTGATACAAATACTATACCATACATTATGATATGATACAATACAACATAATACATTATGATAAAAATACTATACCATAGATTACGATACAAATAATATACCATACATTATGATATGATACAATACAATATAATGCATTATGATACAAATACTATACCATACATTCTGATATGTTTTGATGTGATATGATACAGTACCATATGATACAAATACTGTATGTACCATACACAATGATATGATATGATTCGATACGATACGATGCGATACGATGCGGTACGATGCGATGCGATGCGATACGATATGATATGATATGATATGATATGATGTGATTCTACATAATTCAATTCCTTATCTCCTTCAGGGAAATTAATTTGAACCCCTATGATTCTTAGCCCCTTTCAGACTGATTTAATTTATAACCAAACATATCATAACTGTTTTTCCTTTATACAGATCTTTCCTCTCATCTCTCAGTCTCGCTGGCTGGTGAAGCACGGTGAACTTCTGGAGGTAGACACTCAGATGATGAGTATTTCTGGATCAAAACTCAAGCTACCCACCAGGCCAGTGTACCTTCACCTGTTCAATGACTGCCTGCTGCTGTCCAGGAGGAAGGAGTGAGTGAAAGGAAAACTGAGATGAAAAAATATGCTCTTTTGAAACAAACGTCTTTTGATCCGACCACAGAAATTCACTAACTCTTTCATTCATAAAATATGATCATTTAAATTTTTACTCTGCACTAAAATACAACACATGTTGAGACTGAAATGAGTATTTTACAACCAAGTAAATATTTGGTGTGTGGGGAAACTCTTTGCATGTGTAAGTATTCTTATACATGCAAACACCTTCCTAATTCATAAAGAAAAAGCAACTATTTACAAATGGTTTGTGTTTGCCTTTTAAGAAAAACAAAAATTAGAAATGTTGCATATTTTAAGCATTCCAGAAAGCAAACTTTCAGATATAGAGATTTTAATGACAAAAAAAAAAAAGAAACTAACCTCCAGAGAATATCAAAATAGCTCTTCTTTGGAGGCTTTCAATGGTAAAATGGTCCTCTTTGCTTTGCAGCGCGTGGAAGTTCATGGTGTTTGTTCATGCCAAGATTGGCGAGCTAAAAGTGAAGGATCTCAGTCAGAAGCTCCAAGGAATCTCAGGCTTCATCTTCCACCTACAACTGTGTGAAGGTCAACAGCTCAAACACCAGATCCTGCTTAAATCTCACACAGAGTAAGAAACGTCCATCTGTCTGACTGTCTGTCTGTCAGCTGTGGGTTTAAATCCAGCCTAACTCCTCTATGGTCCTGTGTCTGCCAAGGAGCGGTAAGGAAAGGTGGATCACCGCAATGTTTCCATCCGATCCGCTTGAAGACATCGAGCAGGCGAATGAGAATTACGGTCAGTAGACATCTCAGTAAGTGCACTTTAAGCAAATACCTTTCATTTATCCTCTGTTCTTGTCTGTTGTTGCAGATACTTCGCAAGTTCAGTGCATCAAAAGCTACCAGGCTCAAGAACACGACGAGTTAACGTTGGAAAAGGCCGACATTCTTCATGCAAAGACCATTACGAGTGATGGTGAGAGTGCACACAGAAAAAAGACGCTTCATCAAGAACGTAGACCAAATGTAACTGCATGTGTATGTTTGAGATGCGAGATGACGAGTCTGATTGTGCTTCACCAGGTTGGGTTGAAGGCATCAGACTCTCAGACGGGGAGCGGGGCTGGTTCCCCAAAACCTACGTGGAGGAAATCACAAGTCGAAGCGCGCGCCTCCGCAACCTTCGAGAAAACATCCGAATCAAGTGTGTCACACAGAAACTGAAGGTGGACGACTGACGGCTTTTGCCACAAAGGACCACGTAGCAACTTGAAAATTCGGCAGTTTTAAGCTTGAAAATGGTTGTTTTATCATTAGACGATTGTGGGGTCTTTGTGTAGTGTGTAGGGGCAAAAACAAATGTCTTTGTTAAAAAAAAGTGTAAATTATCAGTTTCCTTTGTTAATCTTTTCCTGCTAATTTCATAATTTGTCCTTTATAGCTTCCTTTCCACTGTAGGGGTCCTGGGAAATTTCCTGGAAGAGCAAAGGTGACAGGCTCGGTTCTCTCAGCTGTTGTGTCTCCATAAAAAATCGGCCCTTTCAGCACTTTGCTAAGACGTCAGCATATCGTGAGAATTTTGGCAGTCACTGATTAGCACCAAAATGCATCCACAGGTATTAATATTATTAAAAATGTTGAATTCTGTCAAAGTAGACTAATTTAACCAATTCAGGGGACAGGGAGAGCAGTGGTCAGACGTAAAATGAAGTGTTCAATGACCAGAAGAAGTGTAGATTTTTACCACACTCTCACCACAAAGAGGTGTTCATTATGCCGTTGTTGGGGAGATTTTCACATTATATTTATTAGTGTTGGGAGATTAGAAATGGAGAAATGGAGATGAACAATGCTTATTGTCTTTACCTTCCATTCTGCTTCCACAGCAACTCTTCCAATTTTACAAATACCAGTTGTTACAACCAATAAGCACAAGTCCTGCCCAGCGACTGTACCGGGCGTTTATATACCTTGGGTCCTTGGCTGGTCCCTAAAATGGCCCAGAAAGTGATCCTTTTGGGTCGGCCCGTTGAAATGGAGACACACGCATACCATGCAGATCCGGTAGAATCACCCAGAGGTTCCAATAGTGAAAACGGGTCCTGTGTTTCACTCCAAACTTAATCTTTGAAAGAATTATCCAGGGTTGGTTTGTTTTGTGTGCTTAACTCCTTCTGAAACTAAATTTCAGCCCTTTTGGTCAGAAATGTTGAAAATATCAACACCGGCGTGTCCTGTTTCAAAGGTGAAATGAAGTGCAAATGCAAAACAACCACATCAGCTAAATTTATGGTGACTAAAATCTGCTCTGAATTTGGCCCTTTGTGAGTATCTCGGCCTGATTCTCTAACCTGATTTTATTGTGAAAGATTTAGATAAAGACTGAAACTATTTTTTATGTCCTCTTATAACACGACCAAAGTTTTGCTCATTTGAAGCTTTTGTAAAGTGTCGTTTGTTTGTTTTTTACTAAAGAGAAAGAAATGTAGACATTATGTATCCATTTCTACATCAAATTTTTGTTTGAAGTCTGTTATTAAATCTATAATTTATTTGCGAGTCAGGTGATGGCGTGTCATCATCACCAACCACAATAGCAGGTTTCTGAGTAAGTGTCACTTAAAGGGATATTTCAGCTATTTTAAAGTGATGTTCCACCAGTTATTTATCTACAATAAGTACCTTGCCTGCAGATGACATCACTCAAAGCAAGGCGTTGCTTTACTCATTGTAAACACTCCTGATTTCCAGTATTTAAATCAACTCCTACTGAGAAAGTCGCACCACTGCAACAAAACTCAAGACAGGTTTTTTTTTTTAGTTTTTTATTATATCCTTCAACTGAACAATGCAGCAGTACCACTCCACCTAAGAACAGGCGAGATGAGGCCGATCATGCTGGGACATGGCAGCGTCACACCTAAAGAAGTCATTCAGATGATGTTCATCTAACTCATTATTGCAGATAAACAACACATAGAATCAAATATGAACTGAAATATCATTTTCATCGGAGGCTACGCTTCAGGTTTCAAAAAAGAATCTAATTAACGCACTATTTTCTTCTGTTTCTGTAGAATTCACTTAAAATAACAACTATTGTAACAGTTGTTGGACGTTTGCCTTCTTAGACCTAGTCCACACGTAGCCGGGTTTCTTTAAAAACGAATATCCGCCCCTCCAAAAACGTGCATCCACACCACCTCGTTTTATAAAAAAAACTGTCCACACGTACCCGGATAAATACGTTGTTAAGGACATGCCAGACCTGTAGGCGGCAGTACTTCCCCCGTTCTTAACCTCGTCCTTCGTCTGTGGTCTTCCGCAAGGAGCAGTAATTCCGCTTGCAAAAACAAACAAGCAGAAAGCGCTTGGACAATTGATAAAGCGAGCGCAGCTCTGAGGGCATCCATGCTGTCGGCTAGTGTAAACACAGGTCGCACACGTGATGTCAGCGTTTTTTGTCGCGGAAAGTGACGTTGCGGACCTTAAAACTCCGGTTTTGTCCGTCCACACGCAGACACCCAAAACGGAGAAAACGCAGATCTTCACTTTGGCCGGAGTTTTTAAAAAGATCCGTTTTCGTGTGAAAAACTCAGTTTTCGTGTGGATGACAGGCCAAAACGTAGAAAAATATCTACATTTTGGCAGATCCCCGGCTACATGTGGACAGGGCCTTAGGAAACAAATCTAGTTCTCATCTTTTATTCTTGTAAGATGACTTTTCCCAAGGAGCAGAAACGCAGACGTCTAACAGAGAAACGAAAGAACAAATTAGACTTTTTCTTACTTTTGCTTTCCTAAAATTAGAAATTCAACGCACAAACTAAATTCTGTCTTGTGTGATTTTGTAGCTTTTCGCTTCACAATCACTACTTTTATAAACTTTCCTTTCAGATGAACAGAGAAATAAATGTGTATCCACTAAGAATGACTCTAACAGAGCAAAATGATTAACAGCACACGAAAAGGGAGCTGAGAGTTTCTGTTAATGAAATCCAGCAGCGCATGAAACATCTATGACTCCACTGTTACTAACGCTCTTTAAACAAATTGTTAGTTGTAATTTAAATGGTTGCTGTTGAAGCGTTTGTATTTATATACTATTAGATGCTGATGTAAATGTATTTTATTGTAGATGATTACATGTATAAAGCGTAGAATGTGGTTTGTTCCCTTTCATGACTGTAATTTATAAGCAAAAAGCATTTTATAAAGAAACAGTTGGTTTTTATCCTGATTAAGTACATGCTAATACACTGGATGTTTACTGGATTTCTGCACACTGCTGTAAATGTTTACTCTGAAATAAATGCAGGTGTTTGCATTAAGATGCTGTGTGTAGTAAATGACTCTATTTCTTTAAAAACAGTTTATTGGTGAGGAGCTACGTACAGATGTGCGCAGTTTCATCACCCTGCTGTAACACCGTGGTATCTACGTTCTACTCTTTAACAGGATCATGACCTATTTCTTTCTGTCACACGTAAAAGTGCACATATAAGTTAAATGTTTTCACTTCTCTTCAACAAACATCTAAAACCTCAAAGTTAGGAGGAGGACATTTCCTCTTACGGTTCTAAATGCATTATGAACATGGTTTATGTTCCTAATAAACATTTATGACTGAAGTGATTTTAAAGAGTTTTCTTGCGTGTGGAGGGTCAGCTTCGTCCATTGCTGTGGCTCTGGTCAGCTGCTACTATGGGCTCCTGGGACTCCTTCCTGCTCCTCTGCAGCTTGGGCATGAGAGGAGGCGGAGGGCGACTCACAGTAACATGGCTGTTTCTATCTGGCTGTGAAGCAAACACAAAGTCTTTTTACAAAGGCTGAGAAGCAATTAAGGAGAAAGCAGATCTGATCTAACTCTGGTCCAACAACAATTCCCCTCTTGACCAGAAAAAAAGCTCCAAAGAAAGAAGTTTTAATCTCGCCCTCTCACGGCTGTAGCAAGCATTACAGGAAACAAAAAAAAAAAAAAAAAAAAAAAAGCACGAGAACATGTCTGCAGCCCAGATCTGATTTATTTTATGTTGTAATGCCATAACTGCTTTTCCCATTCAGGAAAAACTATTTTACAGGTCTCCCTTAAAAAAGATACTTTAGACCTTGATAGAATTTTCTTCTTGGTTAAATAAACTGAATAAAAATCAGGTGTGTGTGTGTGTGTGTGTGTGTGTGTGTGTGTGTGTGTGTGTGTGTGTGTGTGTGTGTGTGTGTGTGTGTGTGTGTGTTTACAATATGTTATTACTATTAAGGATGCATGATTGGAGATTTGATGCTAATTATTAACTCATTCACTGCCATTGACGACAAAAGTCGTCATTTTAAATCCAAATTTTGAAAATTGCTGGCAGCAAAGGGCTTTACTGACCAGGAACGTCTGGAAGTGAATGAGTTAATAAACACGAATGTAATGAACACATGCGCCATAATTACTGAACAAAGGTGCAATGAACATGCTTAAAAAAATAATTTATTAACTCATTCACTGCCATTGACGACAAAAGTCGTCATTTTAAATTTCAAATTTTGAAAATTTCTGGCAGCAAAGGGCTTTACTGACCAGGAACGTCTGGCAGTGAATGAGTTAAAAATTATTTTTTTAATGAGGGTGGACCTCACATATACTAGTTTATATCGTATTCGAATTTAAGACTATTCAAATGTCGGATATCAGTAAGAACAACGGCTGCAGATATCGAACATCCTAAGTAGGCAAACCATTTACACTGAAACATGCAGAGAAGCAGTTTTGACCTTCCCTTTTGTGAAGGATGCTCAAGATTGAACTAAAACGTCATGAGAACTTGTTTAGTACTTTACATAATTTAGTTTTGGATGTTTGCAATGTTACATGAGCAGTTAAACACACATTTAACAAACTTACAACGCTGAACTCAACTTAAAAGACGGTTTTAGCCTCTTTAACTGGTCATGTTACTTTGTTTTCTTCGTGATATTATTGAACAGAATCTAAAAGAATCTGAACGAATGCATGAACAAAACTGGACCAAACCTGCTGCAGCTGAAAAAGCCAGTATTGGTAATCTTCCAGGCAGGTACAGGACACCTGCAAAGGCTCCAGCAGCTCACCTAGAAACACAAACAGTGAATATGTGAAGTGAATCACTTCACTAAGTTTGTAACAGAACATATACTGATGTGAGGTGCATGCATGTGAGCTGCACCTATGAGCACAAACGCCAGCCTTCCAGGCAGATTTGAACACTCCACTGCTTTGATGCTGTGTCGAGCCAACCTTCCCTGCAGAGGGGTAGCAGATTTAAGATATAAAGTCTTCCACCTGTGCAGACAGACATGAGTAAGTGTGTTTTCCTCACTAAGTACCTCATATTTTACATTCAGCCTCTTGCTGTCCACAGAAAGCAGCAGAACATCTAGAGGAAAGAGAACCATCAGTCTTTCTTGATGTCCCTATCAGAAAAAAGACAAAAATCTTCTGCTTTAGACTCAATGTACCACATAAGAAACACAAGCCAACTTTGTTTTGTAAATTTAAAACACGTCAGTATCTCAGAATAAGATCAATCGAGTTAATCTGAGATTACCGGTCTCAGCGTGTTGATGATGTGAACCGTCGAAATGTATCCTGGCTGACCCATGTGCTGTATGGGCGAGCCCTCCCATTGCCTTATCGGCGCTTGCAGTAAATATTTCTTCAGCTCCTGTCTTTTCCAAGGTTCGTCACACGGTAGCTATGGTGGACAAAGCCTGAACCTTATTGACCGCATGCACGTCTGTGACCAGATGTGTAACCGTTACTACTTACGAGGTAGGAGAGTGAGCAGCGTGAGGGACTCGCGGATTGTGTGATGGACTTGCATCTCCTGTCTTCGATGTGCTGCATCCACGTTTGTAGCTCCGCAGCGCTGGCACACACAAACACCTTGGAGTCCACCATTGGACCTGGAAGAAACACCACAAATCACAATCTGAAGCCACACTGTAGCTGAGCTCCGCAAACTTCCACTCACTTACTGCTGATTTCAAACATGTGCTGTGGATCTGACACATCGGAGTCCAGGGATACGACTCGGAATGAAAGTCCAGAAATGGGAAGAATGCCCTGCGGGATAAGAGAAGTCAAACACATCTATTTCAGCATGAAATGCATTCATGATGGGAGTATATGCCATGTATGTTTATGTTTATGTTTATGTATTTAGCAGACGCTTTTGTCCAAAGCGACTTACAAGTGATAATCGGCATTTTGCCCTTGAGGCTAACAACAATAGTAACAACAACAAATTGACATCAGTCATGGAGAGGAGGGAACAAGGAGTGGACAGTAGAGAGGAGGGATGGGTGCAGACAAGGTGCTAGTTAAGAAGATGCTCTCTGAAGAGCAGGGTCTTCAGGAGTTTCTTGAAAATAGAAAAGGAAGCCGCAGTTTTGGTAGTGTTAGGAAGGTCATTCCACATTTGTGGAACGATGCATGAGAAAAGTCTGGATTGTCCTGAGCGTGGTGTAGGCACTGCTAGCCGACAATCCTGTGATGACCGGAGCGGCCGGGCCGAGACGTAAGCCTTTGCAAGAGGATTCAGGTAGATGGGAGCCGTACCGTGTCGGACTTTGTATGCTAGTGTTAGCAATTTGAATTTGATGCGTGCTGCTAGCGGTAGCCAGTGGAGCTCAATGAACAGAGGGGTGACGTGTGCTCTTTTAGGCTGATTGAAGACCAGACGCACCGCTGCGTTCTGGACCATTTGAAGAGGTCTCACAGTACAGACTGGAAGACCAGTTAGAAGAGCATTGCAGTAGTCGAGGCGGGAGATGACAGTAGATTGCACCAGGAGCTGGGTGGCATGTTGTGTTAGGTATGGTCTGATCTTACGTATGTTGTACAGCGCAAAGCGGCATGAACGGGCAGCAGAGGCAACATGATCTTTAAAGGCCAGGTGTTCATCAATCACAACACCCAGATTTCGAACTGCCTTTGAAGGAGCCAGAGATAGGAAGTCATTCTGGATTGAGATATTGTGCTGAATGGATGGTTTTGCTGGGATGACAAGCAGTTCAGTTTTAGAGAGGTTGAGTTGGAGATGGTGGGATTTCATCCATTTTGAGATGTCAGAGAGACAGTTTGATATTCGTGCTGAGATAGTGTGGTCGTCCGGTGGAAATGACAGATAGAGCTGGGTGTCGTCCGCATAGCAGTGGTAGGAGAAGCCATGTGATCGAATGATCTCACCCAGTGAGGTGGTGTATATGGCAAAGAGAAGAGGTCCTAATACAGAGCCCTGGGGGACTCCTGTGGCAAGGTGGTGCACGGTAGAGGACTGTCCAAGCCAAGATACGCTGAATGATCGTCCTGTGAGGTAAGATTCAAACCAGGCGTGTGCTTTCTCTGTGATATATGTGTCACAGGACTCTATTAATAAATAAATAATATAAATAAATACACTTTATAAAGATTTATTTGGTGATTTGATGATGTGGTCCTGTTGGCTTCATCGGACAGAGATCTTTAGCTTTCGCTGGAACGGTTTGCAGCCGAGTGTGAAGCAGCTGGGATGAGAATCAGCTCTCCTAAATCCGAGACCATGGTCTTGACTCGGAAAAGGGTAGAAAGTCTTCTCTGGGTCAGGGATGAGGTCCTGCCTCAAGTGGAGGAGTTTAAGTATCTCGAGGTTTTGTTCACGAGTGAGGGAAAGCTTGAGTGCGAGATTGATAGGCGGATTGGTGTTGCGTTTGCAATGATGCGGTCATTGAACCGGTCTGTCGTGGTGAAGAGAGAGCCGAGTCGGTAGGCAAAGCTCTCAATCTACCCTCACCTGTGGTCGGGAGTTTTGGGTAGTGACCGAAAGAACGAGATCACGGATACAAGCAGCAGAAAGGACTTTTCTCTGCAGGGTGACTGGGCTTTCTCATGGAGACAGGGTGAGAAGCTCCATCATCTGGGAGGGGCTCAGAGTAGACCTGCTGCTCCTCCACATCAAGAGGAGCCAGATGAAGTGGCTCAGGCACCTAGTTAGGATGCCTCCTGGACGACTCACTGGTGAGGCGTCCAGGGCACGTCCAACCAGGAGAAGACCTAAAGGAAGACCCAGGACACGGTGGAGGGACTATGTCTCTCACCTGGCCAGGGAACGCCTTAGGATTCTCCCAGAGGAGCTGGCCTATAGCTACGGAGAAGGAAGTCTGGGCCTCTCGACTTAAAGCTGTTACTCCAATAGTTAATGGCAATTTTATTGGAAGATTTTGTGCAACATGCAGTGCTCAGAGCACGTGTTCAGGGTGAGTGTTTGCATCAACACCAAATTTTAGTTCTGCATCTCTTTAATAGACTGGGCTACAGTGATTACTGTGCTGGGGCTGAATCCTTTCCCTTTATTCCATTGATAAACTTCTAGATGAATCTGTACTTTATATAGTACTTTACATTTTTGACACTTTTTAGTATTATTTTATCTTGATTATATTCTTACTTCCTATAATTCTTCTCTTATTTTTTATCTTCTTTTTTTACACCAAGTACCGCAGCAATTTCCTAATGTTGTGATTCTCGCTCACATGGCTATGAAAACCCTTCTGGTTCTGATTCTGATCTGTACCTCGTATGTGAAGTCTTGTTGGGAGGGGTCCAGAGAGAGGATCAGGAGGTGGTAAGAGAACAACACCAAGAATCGTTCACTGCTTTCCTGTAGAGACACATTTATATCAGTCACCATTTCTCCGGATTTAAGTGGTGATGATGATGATGATGATGATTATTCTTATTATCATCATCATCATTGTTGTTATTGTTGTTAATTATTATTGTTGTTATTTAGTCATGATACCTGTGTGTGGTTGTTGTATAGAGACACCAGGGAAGAGTGGATGATCTCTCCATACATGTGAGCAGGTTGCCCCTCCCAGCCTCTGATTGGCTGCTGAGAGTAAATCCTGTGATGTAGCTCATCTCTGCTCTTGCCCCACAGCGCCCCCTACAGATACAAACACATATGAGCACATATCTTATTTATTTATTTATTTAACCTTTATTTATCCAAATGAGTCAATTGAGAACTCATTCTCATTTACAACAACGATCTGGCCAAGAAGCAGCAGCAACAGACACATAGTTAGCTTTACATCAAAGAAAAACAGATAAGATAAAAAATACAAGATATGAATAAGATTAAACAGTTAGACATAAAGACAAAAGACTGTTCATACACAATATGTACAAGCAATCGAAACAGACTTAAAACAATCTTTAAGTACTCAGAAGCACATTGATCAGAAACTATTGATTGAAATGAATTACTGAAGACAGACATTGGAATGTAGGTAGTGAGCTTCAGCGGTTTTTGCGGCTCATTCCAGTCGTTGGAAGCAGCAAACTGGAATGAGGAGGTGTGAGCTTTGGGAATAACCATAGAGATTAAGTTGCTGGAACATAAATTAAGCTGGTTGTTGGAAGTGATGAGTAACGAGATGTCCAGTGGTTATTTCCTGTATCATCTGCATGAACTGAAGAAGAATGTCCTAATGAAGAAGAAAACTTGCAAGCTCAATGCACAAAATGACGTTCACACACATGGATGTAGTTTTGGCTTTAGAAGTGTGTGTGGGGGGGGGGGGGGGGGCTCAACCGGCATCGGGACGGGGGGGGGGGGGGTCTTCAACACAACACAAGCGGTTGTTTTCCACCTGGCCCTAGTGCTCAACTGGTGTCTATCCGATATAGCGTTAAATTGTTTTTGGATGGTAAAAATTGCAAAAAACAAAAATTTACCTGGGGGGGGGGGGGGGGGGGGACATGTCCCCCTGCCCCCCATCCCCAAACTACATCCGTGCGTTCACACCTTCATTTGAAAATAGTGAGTCTTTTGTGACAAAATGTATTTACTGACATTTATGCTTGTATGGTTTAGAGACAGGGTCCATGAGGGAAAGAAAGAAAGAAAGAAAGAAAGAAAGAAAGAAAGAAAGAAAGAAAGAAAGAAAGAAAGAAAGAAAGAAAGAAAGAAAGAAAGAAAGAAAGAAAGAAAGAAAGAAAGAAAGAAAGCAATATTTTATATAGTACCTCTCAGGATAAAAATCACAAGGGGCTTCACAAGAACAAAAAAATTTAAAATATACAAAATATTTCTTTAAAAATTTTAAAGTTCATATGGTTAAAATTTGAGGAAAGAAATAAAAATTGTGATTAAATTGTAAGGAAAGAAAAAGAGAAAGCGAATAGGAATGAGGGAACTCTGTTTATCCTGGGAGGCAGAACTGGAGGTAGCAAAGCTCAAGATGATGAGGTTCCCTTTAGGGACAGATGATTCATTGTGAAGACCCCTGAAGGAAAAAGCCCAAAGAAAAAGCAGTTGACATTCATGATGAGTCATTTGTGTGCATTTTGCCTCTAATTCCAGTTCCCAGTCACTCTCAGTCGTCCCAAAAGCTCATCTGAAGTCCCGAGGGGATAGAGGTTTTTCCGTGGCTGGCCCTAGAACCAAGGACCACTCAAAGCATGGAGCAGTTTAAGTCAAAATTAAAAACGTATTTATTTGACTTGGCTTTTAGCAAAAGTTGAGTTGTGTATCTTTTCTCTTTAATCTGGTTTATTGTAGCTTTTATTGTTTGTTTCTTGTTTTATTTTTATCTGGCCTCTTATTAGCTCATCCTTTAATTTATGGTTTTATCATAATCATAATTTATGAGTTTGCTTTAACAGTGAGAATTGGTGAAGCGATTATCCAGGATGAACTTCTAGTGTGTTCTTAATGTGAAAAGTGTCAGTTTCTAACTTTACTGTTATACCCCAAACACACAGAGCCAAGGCTTACGCAGACTTCCTGTTCCAGGGCTCGACCTGAAGATCTGCGTGGAGGTGGAGGTGGAGGTGGAGGCAGCTGCTGCTCATCTCTGCTGTTCCTCACCAACAGCTGAAGTCTGGTTTCACCCAGATTCCACACACTGAAACACACACACATACACACACACACACATACACACACACACACACACACACACACACACACACACACACACACACACACACACACACACGCACACACACACACACACACACACACACACACACACACACACACACAAATAAAGCATGCATGCCTGCTCCCCTCTGGCTAACGAAAACAGCCAAAAATAATCAGATTAGGTGGCAAACACACTTTTAAAGTTTGCTGTTTGTAGAACAATTCTTTGATAACATCAACTTAGCACCACGTTGGAAACTCGTCTCTCGTCTCGTCTTCTTCTGCCTATCCAGGTCCGGGTCGTGGGGGCAGCATCCCAATTAGGGAGTTCCAGACCGTCCTCTCTCCAGCCACCTCCAACAGCTCCTCCGGCAGGACCCCAAGGCGTTCCCGGGCCAGTTCAGAGACGTACTTTCTCCAACGTGTCCTGGGTCGACCAGGGGACCTCCTGATGGCAGGACATGCCTGAAACACCTGGAGAGTTGTCCAGGAGACATCCTAACAAGATGCCCAAACCACCTCAACTGACTCCTCTCGATGTGGAGGAGCGGCGGCTCTACTCTGAGCCTCTCCCGAATGTCGGAGCTCCTCACCCTATCCCTGTAAGGCTGAGCCCGGCTACCCCGTGGAGAAAACTCATTTTGGTCGCTTGTATCCGTGATCTTGTTCTTTCGATTATTACCCAAAGTGCATGACCATAGGTGAGGACTGGGCGGTAGATGGACTGGTAAATCTAGAGCCTGGCTTTCCGTCTCAGCTCCTTCTTCACCACAACAGACCAGTTCAGCGTCCGCATCACTGCAGACGCTCCGAAACATATTGGAATCACGTTGAAGACATATAAACAAAAATCTTTTAAAAATAAATATACATCTATCTTTAGGAACTGTGCCACAACATGAATAAAATAAAATTAACCAGTAGCCATTTTATGATAAAACCTATAAATCTCTTGCAAATATCCACATGAGTTGATTTTTATTGAAAATGCATTTTAATTTGCTTTAAAATGTGTTTAGTGTCTATTTCAACGTTTTCAGTTTATTATTGTTTTGGGTTCTCTGGTTGCTTTATTATATATTTTATAATTAAAGTCCTATATAAGGTCCTATATTGTGCAATATCCCCTTTTTGGAACTTTTGACAATGTTATATTGTTGTTTCGTCGTCAAAAACACCCCCAAAGTGTTTTTTGGCTTTACGCTTGCATTTTCCTGTCTCAGCTGCAAATGCTGTCTGCCAAGCAGCAGCAAAAGCCTGGGTTGTTGGGGATGTTACTGTGCCATCACGACCCGCTCCTCCCATCCATGTAGTCTTGAATCTGTTGGCATGAATCTGCAGTCTCTGGGTCTGCAGCCGTGCATTATTGTGGGATTCACATGGGGGAGGAGAGGTTTCAAATAATCTAAGCTTCTTATTTCTGGGTAGAAGTAATATCTCACAAAAAAACTTATATTTTATATGAAATCACATTTCAATAGTGCCAACAATAATATTTTATCATTTAGGGTGCCTACCGTTGCTCTGGGAATAGCATGATGCTTGTCTGAATAACGGTTCTGTTTATAACCTTTATGGACAGAATTTCTAGGCGCAGCCGTGGTGTGGAGTGTGTCGAGTTTGGTGGCAGGAGAATCTCGTCTCTGCTTTTTGCGGATGATGTGGCCCTCCTAACTTCATCCAGCTCTGACCTTCAGCTCTTGCTGAGTAGGTTCGCGGCCGAGTGTGAAGCGGCTGGGATGAGGATCAGCACCTCCAAATCTGAGACATGGTTCTCGACCGGGAAAGGGTGGCTTCAATCAAACAATCAGATTTATTTATAAAGCGCTTTTCAAACAAAGTGCTACTCAAAGTGCTTTACAAAATGACCCCAGATTCCCATAACAGGTTAAAAATAATTACAGACATATGCAAGCACACACACACACACACACGCACGCACACACACACACAGACACAGACACACAAGTAAAAAATATATTTGGCTGAGTCCAGATGAGCCAAGTAAGGTAAGGCAAGGAAACGCCATCAGAGGAGCCATCTGCCCCGGCAGCATCAGGTATCCCACACTAAGTCAGGGCGCTCAGTGGAGGGGGAGCATAGACCCCCACCTATAGAGCGCCCAGGAAGCTACAGTCGACCACCGCTCCCGGGGCAGAGGGCCCCTACAGAGGAAACACTGGATTAAAATGAGTAAAAATGTAATAAAAGAGCTAATATAAGGGACAAAAGTTAGAAAAGAAGTAATGAATAAAATCATATAGACAGTAAAATAATAATATTAAATAATGAAAACAATGCTAAAAAATAATCATATAAAACATGCAAAGCAAGCAATAAAATATAATCATGTAAAACGAGAAATAAAACTGTAGTAAATATTTAGATAAAAGCTAACCTAAATAGGTGCGTCTTGAGCCTGGACTTAAAAACATGAACGTTCTCTGCGGCCCTGAGGTCCTCTGGCAGCTCGTTCCAGAGGCGACGGCCATAACACTGGAAGGACGCCTTGCCGTGAGTTTGTGTCCTGACTTTAGGGATGACCAGGAGACGCCTGCCAGAGGAGCGCAGAGGCCGTGATGCTTTATATGGTAAAAACAGTTCTGAGAGATAAGAAGGCCCAAGATCATTAAGACACTTAAAAACCAATCGAAGAACCTTAAAATTGATCCTGAAACATACGGGGAGCCGATGCAATGATTCTAAAACTGGTGTAATGTGCTCCCGCCTCCTGGTCTTCATCAGGACACGTGCTGCCGAATTTTGAAGAAGTTGTAAGTCTGAGATGCTCTTTTTAGGAAGACCAGAAAGCAGGGCATTACAGTAATCTATTCTACTGGTGATAAAAGCATGCATCAGTTTCTCCGTGTTGGCCAGAGAGAGAATGGGACTCTGGCGATGTTCTTTAGATGATAAAAACCTATTTTTGTGATATTTTTAATGTGTGGGATAAAAGTCAGCTCAGAGTCAAAAATCACGCCCAGGTTCTTCACTTGTTCAGATGGACTAAAAGACAGAGATTGTCATTTCGGTGAAAGTTTCTCTCTCTGGACCTCAGGACCAATGACTAAAACTTCGGTTTTGTCCTGGTTGAGCTGGAGAAAGTTCTCTGCCATCCAGGATTTAATGTCTAAAATACAGTTAAAAAGTGCCTCCATTGACCGAGAGTCATCAGGAGACACGGAGATGTACAACTGTGTATCAACAGCATAACTGTGAAAGTTAACCCCGTGTCTCCTGATGACTCCGCCAAGAGGGAGCATATAAAGATTAAAAAGCACTGGGCCTAAAATTGAACCCTGGGGCACACCACATGTAATCCCATGGACCCTCGAGGAACAGGCATCCAAACTCACCATGAAAGTCCTGTCTGTGAGGTAGGATGTGAACCATCTATGTACAGCACCAGAGAGGCCGATCCGTTTTAAACGAGTTAAAAGAACAGTGTGGTCTACTGTATCGAAGGCAGCACTTAGATCCAGTAGAACCAACACTGCCAACTTCCGTTTGTCATAATTTACTCTAAAATCATTTAAAATCTTCAGAAGGGCCGTCTCGGTGCTGTGGTTCACCCTAAAACCAGACTGAAATGTCTCTAGGACATTATTAGTGTTTGTCAAATCATTTAGTTGATTTAAAACCAACTTTTCTAAAACGTTGCTTAAAAATGGTAAGTTAGATATCGGTCGATAATTGTTTAATTCATTAAAATCTAAATTGCTCTTCTTCAACAGGGGCCTCACCACCGCCCTTTTAAAGGCAGCAGGAAAGACCCCCGTCTGAAGGGAGCAATTCATCAGGGTTAAAATCTCATCACTAAAATATCCATAGAATTTATTAAAAAACAAAGTTGGAATTGGGTCCAGAACACATGTGGTGGGTCTCACTAAGGAGAAAACTTTATCAAGAGTCTCAGCTTCTACCAGGACCAAAACTGTTCAGTGTTTCCTCTGGTATAGACACACATTCAGATTTATATAAAACCTTGGTTTGCCAACTCCGGGTCGGGGGAGAGGTCCTACCTCAAGTGGAGGAGTTTAAGTATCTCGGGGTCTTGTTCACGAGTGAGGGTAGGAGGGATCGGGAGATCGACAGGTGGATTGGTTCGGCGTCTGCAGTGATGCGGACGCTGAGCCGATCTGTCGTGGTGAAGAGGGAGCTGAGCCAGAAAGCCAGGCTCTCGATTTACCGGTCGATCTACGTCCCAATCCTCACCTATGGTCATGAGCTTTGGGTAATGACCGAAAGAACGAGATCGCGGATACAAGCGGCCGAAATGAGTTTCCTCCGTAGGGTGGCCGGGCTCAGCCTTAGAGATAGGGTGAGGAGCTCGGACATTCGGGAGGGACTCGGAGTAGAACCGCTGCTCCTCCGGATCGACAGGAGTCAGTTGAGGTGGTTTGGGCATCTGGTCAGAATGCCTCCTGGACGCCTCCCTGGGAAGGTGTTTTGGGCATGTCCTGCCGGCAGGAGGCCCCCGGGTCGACCCAGGACACTTTGGAGAGGTTACATCTCCAATCTGGTCTGGGAACGCCGTGGGGTCCTGCCGGAGGAGCTGGTGGAGGTGGCCGGGGAGAGGACAGTCTGGAGCTCCCTAGTTGGGATGCCGCCCCCGTGACCCGGACCCGGATAAGTGGAGGAGGAGGAGGAGGACGACAACGCCATGTCTGAATAAGTTGTTGCAGCAAGAAAAGGAAACAAAGAGCAAAGCAAAACTCTGAAGTGTGGCTTTCTGGTTAGAAGATGGTGTGGCTGGATCTGAGTCTAAAGCTGTCAAACATAGTTTTCACCACAAAGAACAGATAGTTAGAAGCTGGTTTCATTTGTGGCTGTTGGTGGTGAAGCTACCACATCAAACTGGAAGGTCATTCAACACGCTGTCACCGAGTTTACGGGGTGACATCTATAATGACGGTAGAATATGATTATTATTGCTTTGTCAAAATACTCATTTCAGTTTTAAAATACATGTTTTCCATCTAGTGGACATTTGAAATAAATGTTAAAGGATTTTTTTAACCTCTAGAGACCTTCAGGCTACAGCTGTGAGGCCACATTTTTCATCTATTTTAATAATTTACCTATAAAGGCCAGTTTCTGCTGATTTTCTGCACAACTTTTATAAGTTTGCTGTTAAGATGATAATAAAAGAAAATCAGTTTGCTCTGATAGTTTGTTCACGTCTGTGCCTTCATTAAACAACTTTCATAGATGATGTTTCGTTCATTTTCACCTCAAAATGCTAAATTTAAAGCCTCGATGAGGAAGACCCCCGTGCACTGTAAAACCTAATTGTTAAACTTACTTAAAAAAGCATGCAAACTTAAAATTACAAGAACACAGGACTAAGTAAGTATTTGTTGGAGCTACTAAATCAGTGGTCCGCAAATAGTGGCCAGCGGGCCACATCCGGCCCGCGAGCCCTCTCTGGCCCCCAAACCCCGCGCGCACCACCCCACCCCCAATGACCGACCAGGAGGTGTAGGATAGATAGAGCTGAGGAAAATAATCAAATAATCAATGCATGAGATGCGGGCATAAACGGTTTTGCATCACAGAAGAGTACCATAATCACTTACAGTGGAATGTGGTTTTGTTATTTTAACGGCGGCACCAGCACAGCATCCACATCTGTCAGAGCGGTGTTCTCCACATGTACCGGGTAGGAAACTTTGGTCCGCCTTTATGTGGTACTGCAGGGCTGAGCGCTGGAGTTATAACCTGAGACCGAACCCGAATCGAATCAGCCCGACCGGTTCTGTTGGATTTGGGCCGTAAATTATGTTAAGTGAGCGGGTTGTCGTGCTGCGCGCTCCGCTCGCTCGATCAGCGACTGAGAGAGAGAGAGCAGGAGATTGTCAGCTCACACAAGAGAAAGGATCGGAGGACGCTCCTCCAAACATGTGTTATTATTTTCATAATTTCATTATTGTTTCTCCTGGAAGCGCTCAGTCAGACCGACTGTTGTGATGTTGGGAGGTCCGGTCTTGGGGAGGGGGCGGGGTCAATGACGGCGGCAGCAGCGTATTCATCTGTCTCTTTGATTTAGGGACACGGAGAAGTTAAAAGCAGAGAGATATAGAAGATAGAAGTTCTTGTTCCACTTTATTATTTTGTTTCATGATGATAAACTGATGTTAAATTCAGCTTAAAGAGAAACTGGGAGGAAGCTGTGGTTCATTTTAAGTTACAGGAGATCTTCTCTCCTATCTGCTCCTCCAGAGACAGCATGGACATGAGGGTTACATGGTGAGAGTCCCACAGGACAGGTTAGTGCAGTCACACAGCCGAGCTGGAGGGGGACAGGTGTTGTCCTGCTTTATATTGCAAGCTTGTGTGTTATGTGCATTACAGCCAGCGATCCAAACAGCAGCAGCAGCAGCAGCAGCAGTTTTCCTCTTGTGTCCCATTATTCTCCTCAGCCCTCACCCCTCTAGTTATTGGTTGTTTATATTTTCCCTCAGTCCCTAAGTTCAGGCCCTGTCCACACGTAGCCGGGGATCTGCCAAAACGTAGATATTTTTCTACATTTTGGCCTGTCATCCACATGAAAACGGAGTTTTTTCACACGAAAACGGATCTTTTTAAAAACTCCGGCAAAGTGAAGATATGTGTTTTCTCCGTTTTGGGTGTCTGCGTGTGGACGGACAAAACCGGAGTTTTAAGGTCCGCAACGTCACTTTCCGCGACAAAAAAATGCTGACATCACGTGTGCGACCTGTGTTTACACTAGCCGACAGCATGGATGCCCTCAGAGCTGCGCTCGCTTTATCGATTGTCCAAGCGCTTTTTGCTTGTTTGTTTTTGCAAGCGGAATTACTGCTCCTCGCGGAAGACCACAGACGAAGGACGAGGTTAAGAACGGGGGAAGTACTGCCGCCTACAGGTCTGGCATGTCCTGAACAACGTATTTATCCGGGTACGTGTGGACAGAGTTTTGTTTTAAAACGCGGTGGTGTGGATGCAAGTTTTTGGAGGGGCGGATATTCATTTTTTTTTTAAACCTCGGCTACGTGTGGACTAGGCCTCGGTCTTTTTTGTGTGTGGCCCTTGGACCATTATAATGGAGGACCCCTGTACTAAATCAACGTAAAATTAATTTAAATACAAGTTACTTTCACTAAAACAAACTAGTACAAAGTACTTAGAGATTTCCTTACTGAACTAGTATTTCCGAGTCATAGATACTTAAGCAGTAACTGTAACCAAATTTCTAAGTACTTTGTACTAGCTTGTCTTAGTTATAGTAACTTTTAAAGTGCATTTACTTTGGATGCATTACTCTAACACATAATTGCCCAGTGCTGCCATGTTCTGTGTCCCTTTGTTCCCCAGCCCCTCCAGTTCCCACTCCAGGTTTTCCTCTTGTGTCCCATTATTCTTCTCAGCCCTAACCCCTCTAGTTATTGGTTGTTCATATTTGCCCTCAGTCCCTAAATTTAGTTATCTGTGTTTTTATAGTTTAGGTTTATCTGCCCTCCTCTGGTTTTGTTCCCCATTTAGATAATTGTATGCACCTGCTTTCCCTCCAGCCCTCACTCCACACACCTGCTGCCTGTTTCCCTAATTGCTCCTCTCTGTGTATACAAGCCTTGTCTTCTCACTCTGTGTTTGTCGGTCCATTGTATTTGTCAGCGTTGTTCTGTCTCTCTCGAGTTTTCGCCTAGTCCATGCTCATGAGTGAGCTTCTGTTTTGTTTTTGAGATTTAGTCTGGTTCTTGTGTTTTTGGACTTTTGGCGCATCCTCCTTAAAATAAAGGAATTATTTTCTTTAACCACTCCTGCCTCGAGTCGTTCTGGGTCATCTGCATTTTGGGTCCTAATCATCTCCTACTCGTCTCGGGACAAGTGCTGTGTAATTGTTATTTTAGGTGCAGTTTTGCACTCATAATAAACATGAATATCAGAAACTGAAATACAGCAAGTTATTCTGACCAAAAAGTCTTTTAAAGTAAAGTTAAAATGTTTTAATTTGATTCCGAAAGTCATTTAAAAATTCAACTGACCATGTTTTTGCATGTTCACTCAGACAACATATGAATATATAGTGTCTGGTTTACATCATACATTTTAAAGTGGGATTATTTTAGATGTTTTTCACAAATATAGGAAAAAATCTATAGTGAGAGACTTAAAACAACCTAATCATGGTGAATGAGCAAATGTTTTCTGCAACCCATAAGGACCAGTGGCTTCAGTTTGTGATTAGCCTCCTGCTAATCCCCCCACATCCACCCCACTGTGAGGATTTGCCCCACCATTACTTTGTATTAAAGCCCTCCACGCCCTGGTCCCATAATGATCTGCTAATCATATCAGTGTCGCCTCACTGACGTTGTGTTTGGAGTCATTTAGCTCTCCTGTCTCGTTTCTCTGCTGGTTAGAAATCATAAAGATATTGGTTGTTGTTGTGAAAGAGTTTTGCATCACAACAAAACCTCAACGTGTTCTGCCCGGAAACATCCTGCCACTAATTCTTTATTAGCATCCATCAAATGACGTGACTTATTATGGTCTGGGAAACAGTATAAAATAGTTACATTTTATTCGTTTTTCTTTAACTTCACGTGACGCCATAAACGCCACAAAGGTCCACTTTGCTGCCACCGCTTCCTCTCTGAAAACTCAGAGAAACCACATTTAAACTCACTCTTTCCAGCCGCAAGGCAGTACTTTAATTCTTTCAGCTTCCTGAGCTTCCCATTCGTCCAGTAATGTTAGATGTAAGAAAAGTGTCTTACCCTAAATTGTCTCCAGAGAGTTCCAGGAGTTCAATCTCATCCGGGCCCACTTCGTCCACTCCAGTGTGCCTCTGGGTCACGCTGCAGCATCCCATGGCCGATGAGGAGTCTAACGCTCTCAGCTCAGCCTCAGCGAGCAGTCCAGACTCTGAGCACCATCTGCCGAGGCGATCCTCCAAACCGTTTTTTTGTGCCACATTAAAACTGCAGAGATACCCTGAAAATGGGGGGTGGGGGGTTCAAAAGTGGAGTGGAGAAGAGGAGGGAGGGGGTGTCAGGGTGTCTGAGCACTAGTTCCCTCTTCTTGCCAGCAGAAGACAAAAATTGCAGCTCTTGAAGCGATAATGAAGTTAAAAGCAGCGAGTCAGAGCTCTGTGGCTGTTTCTTCCTGTCAGTTGTCTGTCTGCAGAGATCTGAGCCGCTTCCTCACTTTGCTTATTTTACTCTCCGTACGCATGCTGGGAAGCCAAGGACACGTCAGTATGACACATGAAAGCGGTTTGTGATGTTGCTGAGAGACAAGCTGACCGAAAGAGAGAGAATGACAACACCACACTTTACACCTCCTTGTGTCGATTACACAGGTTCACTGATGCCATCCTTACAAAGAGGCAAGTGGATGAAGCAAACTTCCTGTTGGGAAAGATGTGGCCATGCCGGCCCGCGTTTGCCTGCTTCCAGCCTGACTGTGTGCAGAGTGCAGTGAGATAATTATGAGTTATGACACACCGAGGTGAAGAACTGCAGTCAAAACAAGCTGCAACAGCTGTGGAAGTGGATTCTGTTGTTGATCTTCCTGGTTAGAGGGCGGTGAGGGGGCTGCACACAGCCTGCTGCGTCTGTGAAGTGATACAACTTAAAGAAACAGATGGATACGGATGAAGGTGAAGATTTCCTGCCCAAACTACAGAAAAGCAACAAAGCAGTGTTAAATTGGAATGTTTTTTTTATTTCATGCTCAGATTTTCCCTCAGCACAGACAAAGCCTGCTTTATCACGTCTGTTTCCATGCACCGCAGTTCCTCTTTCTTCTTGGGTTCTGAGCTCAATTCCTTTTGAGTGGTGCACGTTTGGACGGTGAGTAAGGAGCGCTAAAGTTGGAGCTGCGATCGTTCGGAGCTTGCTGCTTCCCGGTGGTCCTTGTTTTCTCTGGAGTCTTTGGATGTCTCACATCATTCACAGCTTTTGAATGATCAAGTTTTACATGAATGTTTTTCCCATGTTTAATTGCCTTGCTGTCGTGGAAACACGTGCCTACTGATACGGGGTTTGGACGAAGAGATGCGGAAGTGCTGTTGTTGCATTTTTCATTTACAGAATTGTCATTAATACCCACGGCTTTTGTGTTGGGTTTAAATCTCTGGGGTTCTGTCTTGTGGGTCTTTTTGGTCACTTGATCACGTTTGCTGACAATCTGTGCAGAACCTGGAGCCAGAGGCCCATTGTACAGCAGCACAAAGTCTTTCTGGCTGGTCAGAGGAAGGATTTTCTCTCCCCGGCAACACTTGTCAAAGATTTCCAAGGATAAATCTAGAAAAAAGCATAGGAGAAAGACATTTAGATGATTCACACACTTTAACATTATTTATTTATTGGATTCGCTTTGATTACAGCACACATTCGCTGCGGTGTTGTTTCGATACGCTTCTGCAATGTCATAAGATTTATTTCTATCCATTGTTGCATTAATGTTTCACCAAGATCTTGCACTGATGATGGTAGAGTTTGACCGCTGCACAAAGCCTTCTCCAGCACATCCCAAAGATTCTCACTGGGGTTAAGGTCTGGACTCTGTGGTGGCCAATCCACGTGTGAAAATGATGCCTCATGCTCCCTAAACCACTCTCTCACTATCTGAGCCCGATGGATTCTGGCATTGTCATCTTGGAATATGCTCGTGTCATCAGGGAAGATGGGATAATCTGGTCATTCAGTATATTCCGGTAGTCAGCTGACCTCATTCTTCGAGCACATCCTGTTGCTGCACAAAGACCTGACCAACTGCAGCAACCCCAGATCATAGCACTGCCCCCACAGGCTTGTACAGTAGGCCCTGATGGGTGCATCACTTCATCTGCCTCTCTTCTTACCCTGATGCGCCCATCACTCTGGAACAGGGTCCATCTAGACTCATCAGACCAGTTTTTTAATAATGCATTTGACTTGTTGCCAGCTGAAAGATGAAGCATGAGCCTTATTGGATAATTACAATGCAGTAATTATCCAATAAGGCTCATATATTTTTATTTAATCCTTTGATGCATAATGGTCACTAAAGTGGACAGGTACTCAAAATTGTTATTACTTTATTTTCGCTGTTAAGCACAGCTGTTGAAGACTTTATTGCATGTGAGCCCCTCCATTTGGACTTCAGTAAGTCAAGCCACCACATTTCATGTTCAGAATGCACACTGTCCACTGAGATGGACATGTAATAAATTATTTGTAAATTAACAAAATGTTACAAAAATTATTTGTTGAAATTTGTTTCATTCACACCTAAAGATGGATGAAAAAAATTGTTTAAAAAATCATGGTTGAAGATTTCATAATTCATGCATCAGAGGGTTAAATCCAGGTGGCAACTTTGTTTTGGCTGGGCAGTGTATAATTACAAACTCTATATAATTAAGTTTGATGTAAAGAGTCAGTATTTGTAGTGTTTGTTCTTCTATTTCAACACCTCTTTACTCCACAGTTGCATGCTGTCAATCAACTTTTGATCCTAATACTGAATGAAAACTGTCCACTCGCCTCTCAAGGTTGAAAACAAGTTAAGGTTATGGGGAGTTTCCAGATCATTGATACAAACCATTTATTATTGTTCCCTTAGTTACATAGCCATCGCTTCAGCCATGAACCACGGTGCTCCATCATGCTGGAAAATGCACTGATCATCGCCAAACTGTTGCTGGATAGGTGGGAGGAGTTCCACTTGGAGGATGTTCAGGTACCTTTCTTCGTTCTGTGTTCTGAGGCTAAACTGTGAGTGATTCCGCTGCTACTTTTGTGTCAGCCTCATAACTTTTGATCACTGCTTCATATAGAATAGAAGATCAATGCACTGTCATGGTCTGAGGTGTATTCCTTCTGTCACTCCCTGTCTCTTGAGTTTTCCTTCTGCGGGTGGGCGTGTCTGGAGGTTGACCAAGCTGCAGCAGATCTGTTCATCAGCCGGCCAGGTGTATTTAAGCAGCTGAGAGACTTCTACACTTCGCTGGATGATGACTCTACCTGGATCAAACCTCCACCTTCATCCCCGACTGGCTGTTCTCTGGAACTCCAACCTGCTTGTCTCCCAGTTTCTCCCTGGCCAGAACCACCTCCAGCTGCCCACCTAAGCTCCCTGGATCTCCACAAACTCAGCTCCCTCCACGTCTCCCCTTCTGGATCTCAGTCTCAGGAATCCCCTCCAGTGGCGTGTCCAGATCTTTTAAAATGGGGTGGCCCAGGTGAGGCACAATTTTGTGCATGGGTGGCACCAATGGTTATGCTTTTTTTGTTTTACCATTGTGGACAATGAAAAGCCTATTTGAAGGTAAATTAGTGTGGTGGCACCTGGGGTGGCCAATCAGATTCCAAGGGTGGCCTGTGCTACCCCAGGCCACTCCCTGGACACGCCCCTGATCCCCTCTCAGCCCAGACCAGACCACTCCTCCCTCGAGCTTCTTTTCCCCCTCTCCAGACTATTTCCCGCACCGGCTCCCTTTGTGAAAGAACTCAGCTGCGTTCAAGCTGCTTCCTTGGTTTCCCTTTTAATAAAATCTTATTTAAACACTTTCCCCGTCTCAAGCTGATTCTGTACGTCGTGGGTTAGACATCTACACCACAACATGACATGCACTGCTTTTAAACATTGACTTGGTATTAAAAGAGGAAATATAGCTAAAATTTATTGTATCAAATTGTTCTTACATCTATACTCCTGAAAGTGATATTTACTGTCAAATGTTGAAAGAGAGAACCCTTTTGATTTATTCTCAACTAATAACTGTAAAATGTTCATCCTTTAAGTGAGTTTTAAAAAAAGAGTGTAACTGCTTCAAATATCAAACTTTTCCAATTCAAACATAATGAAGACACAGTAAAGTTGCATGAAATGAACATTAAACGTACACACAAAAAATTGGCCTTATTTTTAAAATACTTTTAAATGCATTTAAAATAAATTTTCACTTTTAGAAAAAAAAGCATAAAACATCAGATGGAAACAGGTGGGAGGTTTCACTCATCAGTATTTTAAACACGTTTAGAACAAGCCTGTTTTGTAAAGGGAACTAAACCTCAGTGGTGCACACAGTTAATTACTGTGAAAACATACAGAAATGTCTCTAAAATAAGCTGGGTTGGGTTTGTGGTCTTCAGCAAGTGAAGTGAAAAGAGTTTGAGGTCAGGACTAACCGAGCGTTTCCTGAACTGTGCTGGGTATCACCTCCTGCAGCACCTTACAGTCCGTGTGCAGAGCTGGATTACAGTTCACCTCCAACAACCACACCTAGGGACCACACGGAAATACAATGAACAAATAAAAAAGTAGGCAAAATCTATAAAACATTTAGAATCCCACCTTAAAATCCTCGTCAATGATAAAGTCACAGCCGAACAAGTCGAAAAATCCCAAACGGTTGCTCAACTTGGACTTGGCCGCCTGGAAACACTGGATCATGATCTGCTGCATGCGCTTCTGATGCATGAAGAGGCAAAAATAAATAAATCAAATAAATAAATACAGGATTATGAATAAAGGATGCAGGATTTACTCAGGAGCTATTTGTGAATTATTAGATTTGTTTAATCTAGACTTGGATTAGAGATAATTTGGCCACATTAAAATATTGTTGGACAGTTCTAAAAAAAACCTAAAAGTTTTGAGTCATTTTCACAATTTTCCAATGATTCAGACTTTCTTGTAGTATTTTTGAAGTCATGATCTCCAACCTTACTGAAGATGTCGCTTAGGAATCTGGTCTTTTTTTTTAACGTTTCTTTGGTCCAATACACTGAAAGCTAAGCCAAAAAATGTATAACTATTTACTTTCATTTAGAAAAAAAAACTTGAAGTACAAGACAAATACTTGAATCGGTTTTCTGAGACTGTCAAAACAACGTGGGTCTAAACACAGAAGGAAAGGAGAATGTGAGTTTGGGGTTGAAACGCTTTTGTTTCTCAAAAACCTTTTCTCACCTGCTTTAAAGTAATCAAGTCATAAATGACTTGGAAACATGGATCACCGCTCATTTTATTTTTTGTTTGTCTTTCAGGGCTTCCATAAAGACCTGACCTATCTCAAAGAACCATTTTTGTCTGTTAAGCTGTGACCTTTGAACCAGTCGGGTATAAAAGGTCTATGTCAACACTTAACACAATTATAAACGGGAACAACCCGCCAATTCAAACTCGTGAGACCCAAACCTTCGTTAAGTGAGCCTTTTGAAAAAGTTCCCGTTACCAGAAAGTCTGGCTTCATGGGAATGATTTATAAAGAAACTAGTGTTAGTTAGCATGACCTTGTGCATTCATTACATCTTTAAAGTGCTGCTTGCATCCTTATGTGTGACACGTCAGGGTGACTTTTACTCACCCCAGAGTTAAAGTGTCACTTATAGAGATGAAACTAAAAATATTAACATTTGCATGGAGGAAAACACCATACATAACATGCCTGTTTTAGCAATGAGATCATGCGATTTCAGACCGGAATGAGCTCATGTGAAATTAACCACAATCTTTGTTATCTGCAAGCACCAACAACCGTTTCTATAACAGTAATTGGTCCCTTAGAGCTGCAGCACACCACAGCGCTCACCGCAAAGGCTCCGAGCACCCAGTCCCTGGGCAGACTCTTGGCAACCTGGAACTTGTAGTTGACGTAGGCATTGAACTTCTCCATGGACCACACAGTGTCCTCCTTCTGCACGCTGTAGAGGGGGTGTTTCTTCTGTATGTACTGGAAGTGGACAGTAGGGGGAGTAAAGACACACAAGACACTGAGACACCTCCTTTTGTTCATCTGTCTAACTGACAGGGACCAGTTTTACCACAGAAACTTTACACTTTTACTGTATTTTTCATCACTTTATGTTCAGATAATAATATTTACTTGTGATGTTTGATCTGAAGGTTCCTAATTAAAACATGAAGGGTTAGGGTTATTCCCAGCAGGTATTCAGGTGGATATGAACTGTAAACAAAGTTCTTATGTGTCCAAAAAAAGCCACTTTTTAAATCCAAAAATGATTTTCGTGAGGATTTCTTTCACCTGTTCAACAAAACATTAATATAAGCTGAAACGCACTTTGATTTTTTTTAGCTTTTTGAATAATGTGCAGTGAAAGGTGTATTTTTAACTGGCATTTTTTTACAGTCTTATGGGCTCGACACAGGGGAGGCGACAAACGACCACGATCAGTGGCGGTTCTACATCGAATTACTCCCCGGGCGAGGCCCCCTTTGAGCGCCCCCCTCCCCCCCCAACCGCCCCACCACCACCACCACCACACCACCCCACCTGCACGCACACACGCATGTTTTCTACAAACAGGCATGTTTTATTAGAACGACTATTGAACATTCATTTTTCTAAGTTGCACATATTTACATTAATTACTATGAAGTTGTTAGAATGTAAAGCAATACACATTATATACTGTATCAAAATATATAGAATCAAATATACAAAAACAAACAATAACTAAATATTAAGAATATATGAACATAATAGATAATAAATATTCTAAATAGCAAAAATATTTCACACATAACAAACTAAAGATAATCACTACAGCATTGCACGTAGAACAGAAAACACAAACTAAAATTAAAACCTAACCTTGATGCAACGTCATCAATAATGTCATCACATGAAATCTGCTCCCCTACTGAGTGATTGATACTAATCAGAGCCAGGTTAGTGAACCGCCCCTGCATGTGTCAAGCCCATTATTGCGTTCTAGTTTGGTTTTTTTGTGGTTTTCACATGTGTCTGCAGTGTACGGCACTGTGGTCATCGTCGTGAGTGTTCCAAATGCTTTATAAAGTTTCATGATGATGATGATGATGGCCACCAATGTTTAAATAAAAAGAAGGAAATAGCTTTTACTCTCACAGAGGGGTATTTGTAGTCCTAAAAGGAGTCTTTTACATTTGCTTTAAATTTAGCAACAAAAAGCATCACATGGGTGGATTGTTTTCTACATGCTTGGCCTTGAAAATCAACTTTAGTTCAGAATCAAAGCTAAGAGCAGGATAAGGGCCACCGTTTTTCTTTTTTTTTTTTTTTTTTTTTGTCAAGCTTTATGAATGGTCAGCTTTTGAAAGCGATTAGTTTGGTTGGTTGGTTGGTTGGTTGGTTGGTTGGTTGGTTGGTTGGTTGGTTGGTTAGACCACAGATTAGTAAAAACACATATTATTCATTGACACCTTGTGCTCATTCCAGTGCAGTCCAGGGCCACACTAAATCCATCAAAGGGCCACAAACGGCCCTCAGACTTTAACCTCCCAGTGTTCAACCCAACATGGACGTGGTAATATAAAATCATGGAGCTTTTGAAGATGTTGTTGATCTGCCGAAGCAGATAAATCGTAGAATTCTCTCTAATAAAAATATTGAGAGCAGTGATTTGTTTCCGCCCAGACTGTTTTAAATGTGACACAGACTGAGCCTGATCACTTTGGTGTGTATGCACAAAAGAAGGAAGAATAAAGTGTTTACTTTTGACATCAATGAGTTGGTCATTCACACCATAATTAGCTTAATTGCCAACAGTGCCAATACGTTAGCATTAATAGCGCATGTTAGCATAAGGCAGCTAATTCTAAGTCACAGCTATATATTTTTTTCTTTTAGCGATATGTCTTAACTAAAGCAAATGCAGGTAATTAAACATCCGTGTTTGGGTCCTCCAGCTCTCATTCGGTGTTATGTTCTGTGAACGTTTGTGCTCACCTGGTTGGTGAGGTGAGTGGAGAGGTCTTTGGACTTTGGATCATAAACATCACAAGTGAGGCGCACGTATCCGTGATGAAAGAAAACCATGAAAGGAGCCGTGCAGGCAATCAGTAGGTAAGAGCGCACGTCAAACTTTCTGCCGTTTAGCAGCAGAGGGTTCAGGATGTAACTGAAAGGAAAAAAATGCAAAACCAGTTCAAAATCAAACAAAACGATAAAGGTCGCATGTGCTCCCTGTCATTAAAAACATGTTAAGAAGTCTGTACTTTTTCATTGCAGCTATGATTACCAATGAGCACCAAAGATCTGCAAACAGAAATATTAATAAATGCATATTTTTGTGCACATTTAACACCATTTAAAACGCAGTTGGCACCCACTGCTGGACGACGTAAGCCTGCTCCTGGTGGGGAATCACCCTCTTGGTGGGCTTTTCCTCCAGCTCTTGTATTTTCAGTCTGAGGGCATCCACGTCCTCCTGGCCCCTCAGAAGGGTGATCCCTCTTCCCCGGTTCTTATCTGTGGGCTTACAGATCCACATGCGATCCTCCTTCTCACCTGAAACACAACAAACAAACAAAACAGACACACAATTAATTCAGTGTAAATGACTATGTTTTTATGTGTTTACTTTCTGGGTTGTTATTTATTTATTTGTTTATTCGCGCACTTGGTTTCCTTGTTAGTGTTGATCCTAAAACCTATTCGATTTCTACAACAAAAAGATCATTGCATCCTTTTTTAATTTGCCCGACTTTGACGATACGGCAGAGTGACTTGTAAACAAATTTTAGTAACTGGATAAAGGCAACACCGCCATCCCACAAACGCTGGTTGGAAGAAGTGATGGCACACCTCAAATTAGAACATCTCAGAGTTACGATTCAGGGCAACACCAAAATGTTCTTTAAGGTCTGGCAGCCTTTCATTTCTTATTTTGAAGATAAGTTTCCGTCTACCCCATAACTGGAAACTTCTTCTCCCCCCCCCCCCCCCCCCCCTTTTTTTTGGTCTGGGTATAGTTTTATTTTGCATTGTGTTGTAGGACTTGAGTTCGAGCTTTTTTGTGTGAATGATATGCTTTTTGAAAACTTAAAGAGCAAGTCACCCCCAAATAAACTTTTTTTTTTTGCTTATAAACTAAATAAACGAGTGTCTAATCGTGCTGCAGACACATGTAGTAAATAATTTGGCACTTCAGTGCATCTTAGTTAAAATTTAAATATTCTGCCTAAAACGGGCAGTGTTGTGCCGTTGTCGGGTAAAAACTCTGCACTGTATTTGAATTTAAATCTGCCACCGCTATTGGCTAAGAGGTATGCTATGATGTAAACTGGTACATTATGATGTCACAATGCTGTCGTGAGCCTGTGTGTGTGTGTATTTGTTAGCAGCTCCGCCTTCTCGGTCTGCCAGGCAACAGCATTTGTTGCATTTTTCAAACATGAAGTGGGAGTGGAGTTAGACTCTGGTAGGGGGGTGACTTGCTCTTTAATAAAAACACTTTATTATTGTAAACAAATTTCAGTAAAGAACTTTTTCCGTTCCTCTGTGGAAACTTGACTTGCTTTTGTTTCGTTGCCTGTATCCTGAACTCATCCACTACAGATCTGAACCAGCTGTTTGCATCTTTCTCCTGTTTACTTAGTGATAACTGTGTTTGTCGAAGCTGTGCACCACTTATCACAATGTGCTTGTATGAAACCATTCGGTGCAGATTTTGGTGTTCGGTTTTCTCTCTGATGCTCAACATTAGTTAAAGAGTTCATGTTTACATTTTTTAAATTATTCTAATGCTTTTGACTCGCAGCATCCTGTTTGCTTTTTTTGTTTGGGCCTTGGCCCTGCCCTCTGCGGACTCGTCTCCACGGCAACAGCATGCTTCCCTGGTGATTTTATCAGAGCCTTATGGGAGGTGAAGTGCATTATTTTCCAACCTCTTGATTAAACACTCACCAAGGCAACCATTGTCTCATCGCTATCAAGAACAAACTTCCAGTCAGTGCTGAATTCAAGACCAGTCAGGTTTGATTAATCGTTCTTTAAGTGAGGCCCGCGAACGCGTGACAAATCCAGTTGGGCTGGTGTGCTGTAGCGGCATCAGGATACTTTTAGTGTGTGAAATAGCAGGATGTGTGTGGTTGTTTTACCTTCCTGCTGGGCAAAATGGGAAAAGAAAAGTTCCCTTTCCTTTCTCACATCAGTGCGGAAGGTGGTGGGGATGAAATCTTCCAATTTGAGCCTCCTGTAAAGAAGGATTTATGTCAAAAAGCCAACATAAAAACCAGTTTTCTCCAACAGCCTTTCGGGCTTGAAGCCCTAATAGAACTGGATTATAACAAAAAGTAAAAGAGAAGCTGAGAGGTGTTCCCCTAAGATGCTGTTGTTCTCTGAACATCGAGACCACACAGGTGTGCTGCAGGAACCTGGACTTTAAGCCAGTTTAGGGTGTTTATAGACCGAATCTCAAGACATGAGCGTGGATTTAACCCTTTGATGCATAATGGTCACTACAGTGGACAGGTACTCAAAATTGTTATTTATGTGTTTTTGCTATTAAGCACAGCTGTTGAAGACTTTATTGCATTTGAGCCTCTCCGTTTGGATCTCAGTAAGCCAAGCCAACATATTTCATGTTCAGAATGCACGCTGTCCACTGAAGTGGACAAGTAATAAATTATTTGTCAATTATAAAATTTTACTAAAAATATTTGTTGAAATTTGTTTCATTCACACCTAAAGACGAATGAAAAAAATTGTTAAAAAATCATGGTTGAAGATTTCATAATTCATGCATCAAAGGGTTAATCTCTTTAGGTGCTGTTAAAGAGCAAGTCACCCCTTACAAGTAGCGTACTCCACTCCCACTTCATGTTTGAAAAATGCAACAAATGCTGTTGCCTAGCAGACCGAGAGGGTAGAGCCACTAACAAATACACGCACACTCACAACATTGTGACATCATAATGTACCAGTTTACATCATAGCATACCTCTTAGCCAATAGCGATGGCAGATTTAAATTCAAATGCAGTGAAGAGTTTTTACCTGACAACGGCACAACACTGCCAGTTTCAGGTAGAAAATTACAATTTTAACTAAAATGCACTAAAGTGCAAAACTATTGACTACACGTGTCTGCAGCACGATTAGATACGCATTTATATAGTTTATCAGAAAAAAAATTGTTGATTTGGGGGTGACTTGCTCTTTAAACACAATCTGCTCAGCAGATTCGTACACTGACATGAGGATGCTTATGTACAAATCGTGACCTACGATTATTGTGCAAACAGATTTGTGCTCTGCATGAGCATCAAACACAAAGTAAAGTAATCACGGACGTGTTTTTCTTACAGGGTGTTTTTAGCTGTGAATATTAAACTGTGAATATTTCTGCAGGCCTTTACAGCTTTATTTTACGAAATCTACAGTATATCTGTTCAACTGAAACTCTGAAAAGAGATTTAGTGTCATTTGAAGACGGAAAAAGAAAGAACCCCGTGTGGGTCCGGTTTACTTGTTCCCATTGCTGTATTTGACTTTGCTGCACACTCGTTCGTATTCCTGCAGGCTGCTGATGAGGCCGCTCTTAGAGGTGAGCACCTTGTTGTTTGGAATCTGGAACATCAGCTGTTGACCTTGACAGAAACATGCAATAATAATAATTTATTCCTCAGATATCTTTATTTTCTGTTCAGGTGGAGGGTTTGTGTTCCAAGGTCCGTTACCTTCTCTGAGATTCTTGTAAGCAGCTGCTGAGTTGCTCTCGCACCACTTCAGCTTAAAATCTTCCCTCTGGCTGTCATAGATTCTCTTCCATCCTTTGCACTTGCAGTAGTTGCTCACTCTGCGAAAAGGTAAGAAGTCAGCTTCACTTTCAGAGGTTGAGTTAAAAATAAGGTTAAAAGTGGTGAAAGGTATTATTCTTAGATGATTTTCTTTCACACTTTTTAAACGTACATCTCTTTTCCATTTTCCCCTCCAAAGTAGTAAAAAGGTCCAGGCCCAAGAGGCTCCTCCACGTGCCTCTCTCTGCCAGCAGTCAACACGGGTTTGGACCTCTGGAGGTGATGGTCGATGACGCGTGTACCCGGGACTTTGCAGTATGCAAAAACAAACAATCCAAATTGTGCTTGAGAACATTTGCTTAAAACTAAACTCTGTGTGTGTGTGTGTGTGTGTGTGTGTGTGTGTGTGTGTGTGTGTGTGTGTGTGTGTGTGTGTGTGTGTGTGTGTGTGTGTGTGTGTGTGTGTGTGTGTGTGTGTGTGTGTGTGTCCTGCAGAGACGCAGGAAACCATGCTTCAGTTCAAACAGCAAAGTTACATTTATATAAGTTTCTTTTTGAAGAATTAAACACACGGAGAAGTATCTTAACGTAGAGGAGTGACATGTCAGGGTTTTAACAGAATATCAGAGGAGTCACACACACACACACACACCTTTCCCTCCATGTTGTCTTTTCTTCTTGACGGATAAGTTGTAAAATCCAATTCTCTTCTCCTGAGTCACAGTCTCCTCCCTCTGGGCTTGGTCAGATGCACCTTCTGATGTCACTTCCTGCATGGCATGACAGTCAGGTGACAAATGTTCTGTTCCAGGCTCCCTCTGCCTCTGGCTTGCTGCAGACTCATTATTGCTGCAGGGAACCTCTGTTTCCTGCTTTTCTTTGTCTCGTCGTCCCTCCCGTCTAACTGCTGCTTGGCCGTTACTGCAGAGCTCTACCCAGCATATAGATGGCATCGTTTCATCCAGCTGTGGGGAAAACGTAACGTTTTCGACTGTGCTCAACCATTCAAGTGCATTTCAAACTTTAATAACTAAAGAAAAAACTTTCTAAATAACACATCAGGTGTTTTTTTTTTAAAGAATGAAATATTCAATAAAGTGTTTAAGGCTTTTAATTTAGCTTTTTTTCATAGCTTACCAATAAAGCTGCTGCTTCTAGTGAGAACTCAAGTTTATCCTGACACCAACGTGCTGAAAGGCATCCTGCTGGTAATATTATGGGCCATTCCCATCTGTACAGGGTCGGCCCGGGCCGGGTAGGTAGGTTGTTTACATATCTGGGTGGCCTGGTATTTTTCCGGGCCAACCAAGGCTCATTCTCAGCCCTCTTCTCGAGGGGGTCTGCTTCAGGCCGACCAGGGCCAACACACCCACTGCTGACAGCAAATTCACACCTTCCATTAGAGCAAGCCTCTGATTGGTGGGTAGAATCAGCCCACATGGGCTTAAGACAAGGATGTGTGGAATCAACCGGGCCAGGCTGGGGCCGACTGGGGCTACCCGGCCCGGGCCGACCCGGTACAGATGGGAATGGCCCTTTAGTACCATGCTGTTGTGGGGACACAACACTGGTGCACTATTTTCAGGGACTAGAAGAGAGCCACTTCACAGCTAAGCTTCAGACAGCAGGTTCTGGAGTCTTGCTCCTGATATTTGGACATCTCACCTCGGTCTGGATAACAGCAACACGACTCTACCACTGACTTGTAATGTTGATGTTTCATCTCTACAAATAACATAAGCCTGTGTGCTGTAGTTGCCAGTTAACAGTTAGCTTCTGCTAGCCAAGACGTTCTCTGCTGTTTCCTGAACTCTAAACCAACAACAGCCTTCCGCGTCACGAGTCAATATGGGTGAGTCCATGAATGGTGGACTGGTGGAGTAAGGTGGACTGTTTTTATGTTCAGGCTGCTTGAAAATCTCAGAGTGACCGATAATAATCAGAAATAAGATTTTTAAAATGTGTTTTTTTTAGTGTTCCACAGCTTTAAACACAGACTTCAAATGAACTTTGACCTTTCGTTCTCATTGGTTTACGCACATAAAGGCTCCACGATTCACGTATTAAAACACTTTCCCGTAGCTAACGAACGAAATGAGAAGACTGCACCTCCAAGTCCAACGAGACAAAACAAAGCGGGGAAAACTCCTATCAGCGCAGCCTTTCTTCCACCGTGCGCACGCTAGTGGTCCAGCTGCAAGAGGAAAACATTAAACGCACATTTGAAATGAAGAAATTACATTTTCTGTGCTCGGTTAAACCTGTATACATACTTTTGCTGCGGGGTAAAGTCAGCTGGATCTTTAAGCTAACATAAACAGTCGGCAGTTACTTGAGTTTGGACCCTTGGCAACAGTTGCCATGTGCAGATAGAATTATAAAACAACAGCAACCGAACACAAATGATCAACTAAAGCTTATGTATCCCTACAACCCACTTCATTCAATATTTACTGCCTGTGCATACGCCTTTGTTGTGTGGACCATAAGGTAATATGAGAGGAGGGTGTCAAACAAAAAAGATTTACTAGTTTCTCAGGGTATTATACGCTGATCCTGACAGGTACATATATGTGCAACAATAGGTCTGTTAAAAATCCACCATGCTCCTGTTGAATGCCCTGCTTGTAATGCCGCTATGAACAAAATACACCCGATCTAAGCATTCATTCAACGTTACGTTCTATAGAAGAGAACAAGTCGTCACAGGTACGAAGCATCACAATCGCACAGATGAGTCATTTCTGATTCGTGCAGACGTTGTCATTAATCAGTGTCACGTGCCAAATCCAGGAGCTGGTATGTAGTTGAGCAACATAGCATTTGTCTGCTCGCACAGCAAATCCATTAATTACCTTCTGTCTCAGTGATTTGGCTCGGGAGGAAACACCCAGGCACAGCTACTGTTGGAAATGATGCATAATCTCCTCTCTTCCTCCAAAAAGCACGGTGATCCACAGCAGTGGGCGCCTCTCAGACTCAGAAGTGTATAATTATGCCTACAGTGTGACGGACACCTGTAACCAACCATTCCGAGTGTGCATTTTGAACACATTCAGAGCAGGAAAGTGATGGGAATGGAGCTGAGTCGATTCCTGACAGCAACGTTTTAAGGAACGAACCCAGAAAACGAACTTAACGGCTAGACTGAACAGTTTGGCCCGACTTGTGTCGCTCACGTGACAGTTTGTTTGACGTTGGATATGAGTGCTTGGATCAGCTTGAATTTGTGCAAATAAGGCAAACATTCCTCCTCAGACAGTTGGGTCAGTTCAACGTTTTAAACGTACAAAATTCCAAACGTCAGAGTGTAACATGGCGGGGATGTTCTGCAGTGATGTGAGTCCAGCTGCCACGGTGTCCCGGTTATTAGCAGAAGACTTCCCATATTCCTGTCAACATAACTTTGTGTGGAGCCTGTGTCGGCCACACCTTGATAAAGAGCCGCCATCTGATAGACAGATAGACTGTGCAAAGTGCTGCGTAGGAGGACAAAGAAAACAGGCTTGTTTTACAGCCCCGTCCACCTCGTGCTCCGCCATATGCTAACAGCCTGCGTGCATGAGCATACATATACTCATCTACACATACATTTTTTAATATACGCTCTCTTCCTTAGTAAAAGGACACTTTATTTTCTCTTCTTTTTTTGTTTACATTGCTTAAATGGCATCTTCTTTAAGCAGTAACGTTCATGAATGGCAGCCATGACCACTCAGAGCTGTGACCCGGTTCTTCTGTTTACTCCAAACACAGCACCGACTTCCTCAGAGAATCACAGGAACTTCCTAGAGAAAAAGACATAAAACGTTAAAAAATTGATTTATGTGCCCCTTCACAGAAACAAAACACATGAAGTTGTTGGTGTGTATGAGAATAAGGTGTGTGTGGATGTGTGTGGGTGTGTTTGAGTTTGTCGGTCGGGCCGTTACACCGGGAGTTTTGTGTGTGCCTTTGGAGACTCGCCCATTCCCATGTCATCTCAACTGCCTGTAACTAGGAAGTACTCAGCAATTACAGGGATGCAGCCTGCAGCAATGGTGTCTCTGCACAACCCATTATTTAGAGGGATTCTCCTCATGAAGGTGTTATACTGGAAGAAACGGAGTTAAGTTACACTGCAAAGAAAAGCTTGTCTCTGTAGGGCCTCTCTTTCTCCCTCTTTTCATGATTTCCTTACAGAATTACACCTGCTAAAGCATGGGGGGGGGGGGGCTGTTTTAATGGGAGGTTGGCTCAACTTTCCCAGCGTCCATACTCAACTATTGCAGTTTAGTGACAAATGCAAGATCAGAATCAGAATCAGAATCAGAATCAGAAAAGGTTTATTGCCATTGTCGGTGAACAAACAATTCACAAATTAGGAACTTGCTTCGGTACTAACGTGCTACATATAACATGAATAATATAATTAAAAATAGAATAAAGTAGAATAAAATATAATAAACTAGCATAAAACTTTGCTATAAAAAAATGGCAGGTAAAGGTAATATGGCCGATAACGTGACGTTATGTCAAGTACAGAAGACGAGCGTGGTTGTGTGTTTATAAGCTGTTCACAAGTCTAACGGCAGATGGAAAGAAGCTAAAGCTAAAGCTAAATTACAAGATAAAGCAACCTTAGAATATTACAGAGAGCTTCACTGACAGTTAATGTGCAATACTTTTCTAAATTGTGTAGAATAGTTTTTGAATCAGATTATAACTAAAACGTTTTAACAGGAGCATGCATGGTGTTTGTTTTGGTGCGGACGTCATGGCCTGCTACAGCCTCTGCAAAAAGACACGTGCACATTCTGGGGGAAAATCATTCACAGGTACCCGCAGAGGACATTTTCCAGAGCGTGATCAAATAGGTCAAGCAAGAATTGCAGAAAGAAAAGTGGATATTCCAGTTTCAGCAGAGCCTTGGAACAAGTGGATGTGCTTAAGGCAACGAACGCTGAGTGTTCTTCTCTGGTTACAGCTCCAAGTCAGGTCAGCAGGATCACTCGTTGGAGATTGCCAAAAATTCAACTTTGCACTGTTAAAACATGCAACATGGAGACATCACCTACCGGTTTTAACCGGTGTAAACTCTTTCCAGCATCACACAGAAAATGTTCTAGAAATAAGAAGTTAAATAATAACTGGCAACAAAAAGAATGTAGTTAATCAGCTGGTATCTTTAGTATTCACAATAATATTGTTGCAGCATGTTGGTATTGTGCTATCTCTTTTTTTAGTGCCCTTTTATTTTATTTTAACCTTTAATTAATTTGGGGATGTTACAGGAAGGAATGATAATTGCTTTTGGGCTTATCTGGTCCAATTATTGTAAACATGGAGAAAAAGGATGAATGAAGGATGATGGGTGTGTGATGTGATGATCAGCTTTTGTATTTTTATCTCAACAAATACAAAAAATAAACTATTTCCATGTACTTTTTCTGTCTTACCATTTTTAATTGTGTTTTCACTAAAGCCTAAACTGCTGCATCTTCTGTTTGATTCATGCACGAAAAACTGAAATTATGATAAAAACGTTTTGTGTGTGTTTTCTAAAACTTGAATTAAGTCCATTAAGGCGCTGAGGAAATGTTTCTGCAACGCAACGTATCAAGAAACCTGCATCAAAGACAAAAATGCTGCCAAGCTTTGTTAGTGTTCATGGGCTGACTTAGCTTATAAGCTGCTGTCTGTCTGCCTGTCTGTCTGTCTGTCTGTCTGTCTGTCTGTCTGTAACGATGCTAACAATCAAAGCTACAAATGTCAGAAATCTGAAGTCAGAATTGCAGGGCAGACATCATCAGGTGGTGGATTTTGATTATCTTACTGTACGTTCTGCAAGCTAAAGAAAATTAGCTCTAAGCCCAACAGTGACTAACGTCTTTCAGTGGCCCACTTGGTGGGATTTGTGAAAAAAGCAATTTTGAAAACAGTAACATGTAATTATAGTAGATATGGTTTAATTCATTGTTTTATGTAGCGATTGGGCTGCAGCTTGACTCCACGGTGTTAGCATGTTTTCCCCACGCATGTGTGGGTTTTCTGATGCTCAAAACTCTTGTTTGAGGTTGGAAGTCAATGTTTCAATGTTCCAAAATAAGGAAAATCAGCAGGAAATCAGACTTAGAACGTCTGATTTTCCTGACCTCAAAGTCCAGCATGGCTCCCAAACAAATACAAACATGCAAAAGCTGCAGCGGTAACGTTTTTATTTCATTTTATGTTGATTTGTTTCCCAGAAACTGAGTCAAATGTAAAGATCAATCACTAAAAATCCACAAAAATATGTTGCAGACATAAACTATCCTCTGACTCCATAGTTTTATAGTGAAGGACTTTTAATACTGACCTTTTATTTAATATGAATTTGCACATAGAATCCCATTTTAGAGCTTGTATCATCAAATGACTTGAATTAGGCTTTGAACAGCATGTTTTTATGCAAATGTGACTTCACAGAATCCAACTGACACAAAAGTGTTTGTGTCTCTTTAAACACGCGTCACCAGACCGGCAGGTAAGTTCCAGTCCACTGTTCCTGTTCTGCTCCAGTGGCAGACCCAGCTCAGTGAACCTCCTTCTCCACAACCGGCAGCGCTGAGCAGGAATCTGGTCCGATTGCAGAAAGCGTGCACAGACCAGCGCAGGAATTCTCTTACAGGCTGTCTGCCAGCAAGGAATGGGATTCAGTGGTGTGATGTCACTAATGGAGAGGAGAGGAACCACTTCTCACAACAAATGCTTATTAGATGTATTATTATTGATGATTTTATTATACTTACCATTGTTATTTTCCTAAATTTGATGAGTTTCATTGCAATAAAAAACATTAAAAGAAGGAGAGGAATAATACTAAATGAATTTAGCTGAGTTAAAACACGCTGCCATTTAAGTTAATGTTTTTCTTATTAATTACATTCATGTATATTATACCAAACTAAATTAATGTGATGTCAGTTAGTTTTTAATTGGTCAAATAACTCTATGCTTTGAGACATATATTTATATTTAACACTAAGTACTACACAATGTATAAGACATTTTTTGCATGAAGATATATAAATCACAAATTAAATAGTCAAATTTTTAATGAATAATTAATCATTCTAATTTATGGCTTAGTTGTATTCCTACTAGTGAGGCCTGTTGTTCCCAAAAGAGGTCATGATCTAAAAACAATGTTGCTACTAATGTTGGAAATTAGATTTGCATTATTATTTAAAGAGCAAGTCACCCCCAAATCAACTTTTTTTCTGATAAACTATATAAATGTGTGTCTAATCATGCTGCAGACACGTGTAGTTAATAGTTTTGTACTTTAGTACATTTTAGTTAAAATTGTAATTTTCTGCCTAAAACTGTCAGTGTTGTGCCGTTGTCAGGTAAAAACTCTGCACTGCATTTGAATTTAAATCTGCCACCGCTATTGGCTAAGATGTATGCTGTGATGTAAACTGGTACATTATGATGTCACAATGTCGTGAGTGTGTGTATTTGTTAGTGGCTCCACCCTCTCGGTCTGCTAGGCAACAGCATTTGTTGCATTTTTCAAACATGAAGTGGGAGTGAAGTACGCTTCTTGTAAGGGGTGACTTGCTTACAAGTAGTGTACTTCACTCCCACTTCATGTTTGAAAAATGCAACAAATGCTGTTGCCTAGCAGACCGAGAGGGTGGAGCCACTAACAAATACACACACTCACGACATTGTGACATCATAATGTACCAGTTTACATCACAGCATACATCTTAGCCAATAGCGGTGGCAGATTTAAATTCAAATGCAGTGCAGAGTTTTTACCTGACAACGGCACAACACTGACAGTTTTAGGCAGAAAATTACAATTTTAACTAAAATGTACTAAAGTACAAAACTATTAACTACACGTGTCTGCAGCATGATTAGACACACATTTATATAGTTTATCAGAAAAAAAGTTGATTTGGGGGTGACTTGCTCTTTAAGAGTCCTGAAATGTCAAAATACCAAACGTCATCTGCTAATAAGTAAACATTATATTAAAAAAATCTATTATGAATAAATTTTTATAACAAAATTCATTTCTTATTTTTTATTATCTTCTTTTAGGGTTTGGTGTTTATTTTCTCTCTTTTAGCTAATTTCTTTACAAAGGCACAGGGACTCAGTGGCTTTACCACGCTGCTGATCAGCAGGTCAAAAGGTCGCAAGACCAGAGATTCACAGAGAATAAACCTAAAAGTGAGTCATTTCTGCTTTATAAGGGGAAAGCTGCTCTTTTCGTTCATTGCTGTTCGCGTGCTTTGATCACTCCTGTTAATGATTAAATTAACCGGTTTTCAGGATGAGTGTTTGCATCCATTTAAACACTTTCAGGAAATCATTTTGATTACCCACAAGTAACACCGCTTCCTGAGCCGCATCGGTTATTAAGTTTTGCTGTTAAATGAACTCAATTTCTTTAAAAATTGCAAAAAGTCACCTGAGTTTTACATTGTGTGGTGTTGGAATGTCTCTGGGAATGTAAACTCACCCCAGTCCAGTGCGCGTGTGTGTGTGTGTGTGTGTGTGTGTGTGTGTGTGTGTGTGTGTGTGTGTGTGTGTGTGTGTGTGTGTGTGTGTGTGTGTGTGTGTGTGTGTGTGTGTGTGTGTGTGTGTGTGTGTGTGTGTGTGTGTGTGTGGTGGAAGTGGGTGTCGATGAGGCTTGAGGCCTCTTATGTTAAACGGCTAAATGGTTTTTTTGTGTTTGCATTCAAACTGATAAAATCAGGGCTGCATTTGAACAGTCAACTGAAACCTTTGGCTAATAGGGCAAATTAAACTCCACATCCATACTGCTGAGTTGTCCCCGTTGCTGCAAGAGGGGAAGATCTGTTCCAGAGAAAGAGAAGTTTCCCACTAAATTTGTAAAATATATTAAAAAAAAACCAAGTGATCAGAAAGTTCCAGGATTCGGAGCGTGCCTTGTGCTGCTCGGTTTATCAGGGAGCTGGGCACAATGAGGGCTTAGCTGCCGGAGGGACCCTCATGGGTAAATTGAGGCATTTAAAAGGAAGCTCTGTTTAGCCGGTAACCCGATCCACACCTGACTGAGGCACGGCATTCCGGTGTAGCCGAGGGAAGAGTTCCCCATCATCAGCAAAACTTCCACAGATAAAAAAACACAAGAAGAACTTTTCCTGTCTCAAACCATTTATTGAATCATTTATTCACGTTACAGAGCATCACGGCACACGGCTGGATTGACATTATTGCTCAGTAGCTGGAAAAAAGAAGAAAGCAGAAGCTTTTTCTGTTCAAAAATGAGCTCCATGAGGTCCAGATTGCTGCTTAAAGGAGAAACTTTGACTCGTGTCACGTGGAAGAAACCACAAGGACTCAATCCATCTTCCAGTGCAAGGATCATAGTTCCATTATCATCACCATTCAGCACAATCTGCCACTAGATTTAATATGTGCCTCTCTGGTCTGTCTTTCGTCAATATGCTGCACAGAGCAAGAGGAGGGGAAGTAAGAGAGTGGAAGGTAATGCCATTTAATGGACGGCATTACCAGACAGTATTAGACACCAATATTTACATCTAACCTTGTCTGGTAAGACGCCAATCAACAGGCTGGAAGGATGACCTCTGACTTTTCATCTGTGCAAAGAGGAAACAGAACAGCGTAGAAACAGGCTGAAACGAGCACTTCCTCTTTTGCCGTGATGCTCAGAACAATGTACTTTCTGTCGTCGGTACATTTCAACTGGCCAAGCATGCAGAGAGTGAGTGAACGCAGAGAGAACAGGCCGAGATCAAATACAGAAAGGTAAGCTTGGTCAGGCTCAGAGGGGCTTTTTCTGGCGGTCTTTCTCATGTGGCAACAGCACAAACGTGAAAGAGGAGTGGAAAGGAAAAAAATGTCTTTTCATGTCACTGCAATAATGGCGCCGGGTGGGCAAATAAAGGTGTGGTTTAATATTTGTGGGGTATCCCCTCCTCCTTTAACAAGCAGTGCTTCAGCTTTTTTATTCTTTTAAATCCTTTTTGATGCTTTGGCCGAAAATTTGACTCCTTTCAAAAATAAGACGTTAATATATGTGATGAATGAAGAAAATATTTGCGTAAAAGTAAAGTTTACAGATAACGACGTAAACTTGTATTTGATCAAATCAAACGTGTAATCCAAACTGGATATTAATCTACTGGAATATCTGAATTTCATTCTAAAGCTTTGAAAAACTTTGGAGAAACCCCGTCTTTTTTTTTTTTTTTTTTTGTACGGATTTCAGGTGAGCTCGTGCGTCCGTTCCAGGATGTGCCACGCAGGTAGAGCTAGGTGGACCAATCACTGCTACACAGCACAAAGACCAACACTGTTCAGGGGAGGGAACAAGGAAATGAGGCCCTGCAGGACCGGTGGAACCGTCAACCGACTGCTATTCTTTAACTTGGGTGGGGTGAGGCTGCCGTAAAGATTCTTCACACACACACACACACACACACACACACCTCTTTTTTTAAATAAAGGTAGGGATGAATAGAGACATGAAAAGAACAAATATTTAAGCCTACACCTGAAAACAAATTTAAAAATGTCCTAATCATAGCAATCCATCTGCCTTTAATGCTGGTTTTAACCCCAGAGCAGGATAGCCTGGGGCCTCTGAGGTGTCAACAAAAGAAAATAAAGGCACACCTTTTCTAGGAATTAACTCACGGGTAAACTGCTAAACATTTCTGAGCTAGCTCTCCTCTTTACAGCACCCAACGTCATCCCACTTCATTTTTCACCTTTGATGCACTGGAGTCCCACAGCCGCCCAGGAAACATCGTTACCAGACAGTGTTAGAACAACAGTTGTACAATCCAGCACTGTCAGGTAAGATGGATCCTGGGAACCAAGTCTGTCGCTTCTTGAGCATTTTGCCTGATCCAGAAGGGGGTTGGGGGTAGGGGGGGGGGGGGGGGGCGCTAAAGTGGTCCTCTGGTTGCAGTCAGCAGATGATTATCATCATCATTACCAGGCAGTATTAGAGAAAGTGATGATATCCAATGCTGCCTCGTAAGATGGAGATAAACACCCAAGATTGTCTGCCATCTACACGCTGAGCTGCGGAGCTTACAGCTACGACTGGTGGTGAAATGTGCTGAAAAAACATGGAGTCCTATTCATCGGTTTCAAAGCAAGCCGTTATATTTTAGTGGTGATTAATGAATAAATAAAATAGTTCTGCTCAAAACCTGGGGTTTAAACTCGCCACCGAAGACTGGGTCACAGA